TTCTGCGCCCTGTCGCTCACTTTCTTTTATCTACCCTCTATCTTTTCTACGTCTTTATTCCCGTCCCCGCAGGCTGCACCGTATCCCTAAACTAAATACTGCCGATGGCAGTCGCTTGCTTCCACCGGCAGCGAGAAAAAGAAATGTGGTAGAACGGTATCTATATCATAGAAACTATGACTCCGTGTCAATGCTCCTTTCTGTCTCTCTTTCCCTCACTCTCTCTCTTTCTCTTCCTTCCGTCTTCATTTTTACTTGCTCTTCGTCCTCCCATTTCTTTTCCCATTTTTCATCTTCGCGTGATATTTCAGGAAAAACGTAAAGTAGATCGAGAAAGTTGAAAGAGAGAGAGAGAGAGAAAGAGAACAAATTGTAATCAGCTGCAAGATGGAACGCGATCCCCGAAGATGTCTGATGATCCGTCAAATGCAGTTGACATGCAAGTTTTGTACCTAATTATCTCGCACTGTCCCGATACTGCACGCCTGGAAAATGACGCATTAAGCATCCGTCGAACAAATTTATTTATTTACATACAGGTACGTACATGTTTTTCACGGAGACGCGAGCACGTACAAAATCAAATTTAAAAGGGAGCTCAAAACACATATACACACCGGCGGAAGCTAAAAAGTTCATCGAACCCAAAATTTAATTAAACCGGCCGCCATAGTGAGGGTACTCATCGCCGAGAGCGCGTTCTATTTTGTCGAAACGAGTTTAGTTTAAATCGACGTATCGGAGAGCCACCGGAGAAATGACGTCGGCTGTAACGGCCACAATGACTACGGCGACCGTACGACGTAGCCCGGCTTAACCTCAACGGCTCATAATTGCTTTCCGATTAGATACCGTCGTTCCAATAGCGTTATTTTCAATTCCGCGGCACGCAGCGCGTATCGACAGCTATACCGGGGCAAATTCAACAGGCGGCCATGTGCACGGAGTCTTTGTACACTTTTCCGATTAATAGCGAGAGAAATGGAACGGCCGACCACGCGCGGTGACCATCCACTACCGTCCAATCCTGTCGACGTGATACGCGACGTTTCGCGTTCTTCAAACCGTTCGACTTACGTGAACGATCGAAATCCGTCAAGATGATTATTCCCCGTTTTTGCCCTCATCCCTTTCTCTCTCTCTCTCTCTCTCTCTCTATCTATCTATTTATCTATCTATCTATCTATCTATTTCGAGCTGAGTTATTTAGTCCGTTTTTTCTCAACGAAGATAAACCGGTAGCGGTAGCGAATTTCCATCGTTATGCCGACATTAATTTTCGATGTCCAGCGATGGAGAGATTACGGATTTTTGTAGCGTTCGGTTCCATTTGGCTAATACACGTACCATTAATAATTCTCAGAATCGATCATTTACAATTTTTGCTACGGTATATCGAGCATCCATCAGCGTCTTCCCTTTGGTCAATTATTGCATGATTGATGGCGCAATAATTAACCAAGGGGAAGGCGCAATAACCGATGATACGGGTAATACGCTTGATAACCGTTAGGTTAATCAAATTCCGCTCGCGCTCGGCAAACATCCGATAAAGAGAGAGAGAGAGGAGGAGAAAATTCTCTCTCCCTCAACGTTCTCCCTTGACTCTCTCCGTTATGGACGCGACGCGACGCACGGATTTAAAATCATCGCATCGTTACGCAGGCATTTACGGCACACCCGAGCCCCGGAAGGCACGTCTTGTCCTTTCATTTCAAGAGGATAGCGATAAATTGACCCGTGTAAGCGACGGTTTGGCGCATTCCACGTCGTAGATCCATTGTGGCCCGGAGGATTACTCAGCGGTTGAATGGATGAACGGACGTTCGGACTACGCTCGTACGTGCGCCATTAATTACGTGGCGTAATTAAACATTGTGTCGAATTATCTTTCTCGTCCGCGATAGCGGGGGAGAGAGGGGCGCGAGGGACGGGTTGAAAAGTAAGAGGGAGCGAGAATTGACTGAATGAGGTGAGAGGGGTGAAGTAGGGTGGGACCAGACGCGCCGTCTTTTGTCGATATAGCTTATAATCTTATCCGCGCGGAAGCTAATTTAATGTACGTTACGTAAAAGTTCCGCCAAGAAACTAAACGCGGCTCTCGAGCTTATTCACGGCATTGGCGGATTAAACTTCGCCCGGGAATCCTCTTCAAAAAGAGCTTTTGTGGTATATCACCTTGATATAGTTGGCGGTGAAGCCACCTATCCGCTCGTTACGAGGCGGCCATTTTCGAGGAGATTTCCCAAACATCGAAATCCTATTATTCGCTCCGGGGGGTCAACGTCGGATAATTTCGGGATAACCGGCGGAGTCGGGCCCGAGTTGAAAAAGATAAACATCTACCCACTCCCCTGAGCCGGAGCTCTCGCGCTCAGATATCGCGCAAAGGGAAGACGGGGAAATGGAAAGAGTGCGGTTCCGTGATATTTCTCGAGCGCGGGTCAGAAAAGCACGGCGGTCGCAAATTATTAGCGAGAAGCTTACGCTACGGTAAGCTCCCCCCTCCTCCTCCACCTCGCGCGTTCGCCGCCCGACTCTACGTGGCTACTGAATAAACACTTTGATTTATGCGACACTGTGCAGCCGATAAGGATAAACCGAGGACCAGAACGGAGGCGAAATCAGAGAGAAGCCCGAGCCGTTTGGATGGCACGCACAATCTAGAATGTGGATTCTTTTGTATTCCTCGCCACTCCCTTGCCTTCCCGTATCTCATCAACCACTTCCACCAGGGTATCTTCACCGCCTTTTTATCGTTGTTATAAGTAACACGTTATAAATTTTCATCGACGTAACGATACGAATCAACACTCCGATGAAGCCCGCGGTCGAAAGAGTTGTTTTGTGCATTTTTATCGCGAGGCGCGCGCTATTTATAAAATATTTGGGAAAACCTGATCATTACCAAGAACCTTTCAAAAAGGATATGTAATAAAAACATGTAACTCGGAAAAAAAATATATGTGCATATGTACTGTATGTGTTGTACAAATTTAACGCAACACGTGCATGCGTACAACACAGAATACATACATGTATGTATATATATATACACATATAAATTTTCTCGCATAGTGCGTTGCGCGAAATACGATATGTGTGTTCTGCGTCCGACAGTTCCTCTCTCCCGCCCTCTATATTCCAAGATATAATAAAATGCTCCTCTCTCTCTCGCCATATTTGAAAAATTGGCATTGGCAAAAAATCGAACAATCAACTGCCAACGGCGAGGTCGCCCGGGATATTTTCTCGCGATAACGATGATACGCTCGTAATCGATCGGACGCGCGCACGATATCCGCGCGCCAACACAACTGATTATTCACCCCCTGCCAATTATTACTCTATGACTAAAAGCACTTGACCGATTAGCGCCGTTAGACGCCCCTCCAAGGCTGACGCATTTCAGGAGTGCTCTTTACTTTACCCGGCTAACTTGCCTCCTAATCGGATCGATGGTAAATTACTCTTACATCATGGTGAAGACGGGGCGATCGGCGTCAGCGAAAACGCGCGTTAATTTGTCAACGATGTCGTCCCGCGGAAATTTATTAGTAATAAGAAGCGCGCGAAATTACCATTTAGCGGCGGTGGAGGTGTTCGGTGCTGCCGTAATTTCCGACTTTAATATCGGTCGATTGGAAACGTGGAAATAGATTCGCCCACCGTCGGACTCGCGCTCGCTACTCGCAGTTTTCTCGTGTTAACGTTGTTACGAGAGAATTTCGCGACCAATGAGACGCGTAATAAGACACTTGATATTCCAGCTTCGCAATCTCGACAACATTGAGTTCCGAGACGGCGACGGGAAATGGCGGAAATAGATTTCGCCGCGATGCTTCGCGGCCGCGATCTGCAGATGACCCGCGGTTCTCTCGCGACTCTCGCGTTACATTGCGCACCGCGATTATCCTCGCGCGAACAATTGTCCCTTTCCGCTTTGTTAAACGGCGCCATGACCCCGGTTTACGCGATCGCACCGCTAAATACCGGCGGCTATCATCCGCTTCGTAAGATCAATATCTAGTTTCGCGCGCAAGATATTTCTGCAAAATTTAATCTCACGAGTACGCATATCCCGCTGTAGCGCATCGATCTACGTGTGTGTTTTTGCGAAACTCTATCCGACGGTAGAGTTAANGGGGGGGGGGGGGGGGGGGGAAAGCGCGCAAATGGGCGATTGTTGCCGCGTTACGTAATGCGGTAACACGGCAACAAAGTAGAAATATGAATTTTGTTTCGGATGAAATGAGTTCGCCGCAAGCGCCGCGACGTTTTCGCGTGTGCGTGGCGAGACCGAAAAGTCACATAGTTAGATATTGCGCGAGGCAACACGGGACTCGGAAACGCATGATATCGCTGCGCCAAGTGTCTTATTAAAACTGCAACTCTCGCATAGCGCATAGCGCAAAATTGATGGAATACTCACCGGTATCGCGCGTACACCCCCGATAATTCGATGTTATATAATACATTATTCTGCCAAACATCGAAACGTCACTCCTGCTACGCGTGATGTTGCAATAAATGGTTCGAATAACGGACATGTAAAATTTTATACAGACTTCATTAGCACATTAACATAATAACGAGACCGCCGTAACGTTATGACAATTTTGGAAAATAACGACGATTTATATAACATAACAAAAGCAACTCCGGATCGATCGATCCTTTCTGTGCTCTCTCGCTGTGGATCTCGAGAAAAAGACACGGGGGAGACACGTTTTTTTTTTAGTAGAGAAATATAGAAGAACCATAAAAAACGTACATACACACAAACGTCTCTGTTTACCTGACAGAGCCAAAAAAATAATCGAGCTATTTCGGAGATAGGTACAAAATATCGTAAGATACAAGATATCTCCCCCCACTTTTTCGAGCGGCTCATAATGGCGGTTAATGTTACATTATCGGCTGAAACGCGATATTCGGCGACGGATTCGACGCAGCTCCGTTCCACGGGGCACAGAAATTAGGTTTAAAACGGGACTTACCGCAGGCGAGGACGAGGACGAGTGCGAACGGTGCCAGCGACGAGAACACGAGACCGCGATCCACGTGGGCCGACTGGTTCGTGTATGGCCGATCGCTGGCGAACTCTCTCTTCCGCGACTTTGCGTTCATCCTCGGCGGTGCCGTCGTCGTAAGGCTCCTCGGGGAAGAATATACGTAAGGGTGAACAGGAGGGTAAAGGTATAAACGGCGGAGAGGATAAGAGGGATCTACCACTCCCGCTTCATCGCGAGTTGATTCACCTGTCCGGCTTCCGACTGTGTATCAATATAAACATAGGTGAGTGCAAAGCTCGGACAAGTCGGGGGGGTGGAAGGAGGAGAAGTATGTACGTGTGCACGCGTGTACGTGTGTTACGGGGTGGGTGGGGAAGACGGAGGATAAAGCGAGACGACGTACAACCACGCACGCAACCCTGCCTCGAGCGCAACCCCTCAGCACCCACCACGTCGAGCGCTTGCAGATAGACTAAACCGGGTCCTTCGAGCTGCGCGTTAAGTTCCCGCGGTAGACCTCCGACACTCGCGACTCGACCGTCCTCGGACGCGCTCGACGATATTCGGTGCCGACCGACTACCCTCGGCGCGCGCCGACATCCCCTTCGCTACGCCCGCGAGTACTCGTCCGAGTACGATACGACGACGCATACCGACGAAGACATGGATATAGGAGCTGCACGTACCCTAATGCCCATATCACACTGCAATTTCGCCGGTTATTCGATGGAAATGAAATATGAAGTTAGAGTTCGCCGTAGAATATCGCTCGTGGTATCGACGGGGGNGGGGAGGGGGGGTCGATGGAGGCGAAACATTGCGCGTCTGTCCAGCCGCGATAAGTTACACGCGATTCCTTTTCTATCGCTCGCCTTTCCCTTCGATATATAAGGATCTGAACTGGAAGAGATTTATTTATTTGATGACTTTACTCCGAGTTAGACTTTATTATAAATCTGTTGCTCTGAGAGAAATATACGTGGAGGACAACGTGCTACTTGACGATAGGTCAAGTAACATTTATCAAGTTACATTCACTCGGACCGCGCGTTTCTTGTAATGGTAGAGAGTAAAAAATGTTGTGTTAAATTTAACGCATTTTACATGTACCAAACAGTCTACTAAAATTAATTTAATTTAATACAATTTAATATGTTGAAAAGTAATGCAAATATTATGTCAAAAATTAATGCAAAATTAATATAAAATTAACGTCCATAATATATTAATCGACACTAAGAAAGAGAGAGAGAGAGAGAGAGAGAGAAGTATAAAATATGATATTTTAACACTTAAAAATGTTATTTTTACACTTATTTTAATACTTAGCACATATTGAATATCGACTCAACACAAAATATTGAAATAATAATAAACTCAATACGTTAAGTTAGCATACGGGTATATTAAAAACTGAATATAAAAATTTTAACAAGAACTTATTTTAACACAGATACAAAATGTTTTTTACTGTGTAGTAAAATTTAAATATACGATAAGAACAAACGCATGGAAGATAATAAATTGCCTTCTTCTTTCTCTCTTTTTCTCTCTCTTCCCTTAAAATAATTATATATAATTGTTATATACTAGAGGAAAGTAAATTTATCTTATCGATTTATTATGCTGTATTAAAAATGTTCAATTTTCCAAAAAGGATACAAATAAGAAGCTTATGAATTATTCAATATTTGACGAGGTAACGACAATATTCTTTAAAAATGCTCATAACACCGGCAAAATTTTATCACGTCCAAAACATAATTAAGCATTTCCGCCGGAATTTTTTGGCCACTCTCACTACGAATCTCCGCGCTTAAAAAATTGAGCACGAGAGACGACATAAAGCACAAGTGTCTAAAATGACCATTCCTTAAAATAATAATAATCGCAGCTTCCCGTCGGCGGTGCGAAGAAAAAATTATCCCCCGTATAACTCATCGTGCTTTTACTGCAAGGTTACTTATTCCCGGGGAAAGAAAGATTACGAATAAGATTAGGTCTCAAGCATCCCCGGACTCGGCATTGCCGAGTAGCGTCACGTGAACATGCGTGAAGCACGCACGGACGTGTATCTCCCTCGCTGAAAGAATATCCGAAGAGACGCGCGGCGTGATGTAGAGCCGGCGAGTTCGGTTTAAGCCGCCCCGCACGCGAGACTACCATCACCGTGGAACATGGACCTTACCTTACCGTCTCTTTCCACTGATCTCACCCCCTCCCTCTCCGTGCTGCCCCCTCCGATCCCCTCGTCCGTGTTATACTCTGCTCGGGGGCTACGTTCCTCGGTAGCCTTCAGTGCGTAACACCAGCCCACATCACCAGGCCGGCGCGGAGCGAGGCAACCAACCGCCATCAACCACCGACCTCAAAGAGCGAGAGACCCGCGTAACCTTACGCCACCCTCCCTTCCCCCCTGTCTCTACTTCCCGCCGTCCCCGGCGCTCCCGTCGCCACCATCATCGCCGCCGCCGCCGGCACAAATTAAATAGCCGTGCAGTGCACGTAGCCGTTTACCCTCACTACACCCCCCCCCTTCCCCCTTCGCACCGCGTCGGTCATGCTGCTCTGTTTTTCATGCGTCGTTGGGCCGAATTTCTTTTGAAGACTCTCCAACGGTTACTAATTTAAATCGCTCGCCCCCAGCTTCGCGGTTCGCGTTCGTTTTTTTGCCACGGCGCGTCACACGATCGACGACTGTGTTATCAGCTCTTCGAGGGAGGGGGGAAGGGGCTAATCACGTACCGTAGATCCGGATGAAGGGAATGCAATTGTCTTTTGTCGGAGCGGTCGCGCAAGAAATCCGCGCCCGCTCGAAGCCGACGATTGAAACCGGCGTAATTGCGAGGAGGTTCGATTCTCGATGCCGCGGCTCGGCGGAACGGATGTGTTACGGCCGTCGGTGCGTTTTTATGATCGCACGGTGAACGTGTGCGAATTATCGTCGCATGTAACGACGAGAATCTGAATTTACAGGTATTATATAACGGTACTGAGAAAAGGAACGAGTACAGGTCTGATTAAGAGGACTGAATTGAGAGCGAACAGCGCGCTTGAAAAAGGTCGTTTGCAAGTTTTGCGAACGGGAGTTCGAAGTAAGGACGGATATATAAATATATTCTCGAATCTTTTGGCGCTATCAATTCGCTCGATTTTTGTCAGGCCGAGTTAGCTATGTAATACTTGTAAACATTGAAACTAACGGAAAATATATTTAATACCGCACAGACCACAATTGCAATTTGGTGCTTTCCGAGAGGAGAAATGTAAGAGAAATGTTGAAGTACCATTATTTTTTCTGGTCTAACTTGCGATTAACCAGCAGTGGTGACCGGGAAAGGAGCTCATAACCAAATGAGAACTCGCGCTTAAAACTCCATTACTTTTATCTCTTATCTCGCAGATTTTTATCTCACGGAACACCCTGAGAGAGAGAGAGAGAGAGAGAGAGAGAGAGACGAAGTTACACAGTTCCATTAACTGCTCCAACAAATTTATCTCTAAATGGTCTCTAAACTTACGCGGTCTCTTGAAACGCATTATTTCCCGAAATTATTTTTTCTAATATCGTCTTTCCCTCCCGGCCGCCACCTCGATCATCCAAAATGCTAAGTGCTACGTTACGCGAGTAATGTATTTAAATTAATACATAAATATTCAGTAAGCGAGACTCACTTGATCGTCTTACGTTTCTCAGGTATAATTTATCACTCCTCCTCTTGCTGGATGCTAATTAATGTTACACTAATTGCAGCATGTATAAGCCTTTTCCGCCATTACAGCCCGTTTGCGCGCGAAAGGGATTACAGAAGCGCTGCTGTCGATAAATCTTCCAAACTATCACATCGAGGTTCGATGGTAATGCAGAACGTTGCCATGACCGGCCGCTCACCTGCGCATTTTCCTCGTTACCGTCCGTGCTTCTCTTCTACTACTATCTCCCGCCGTGGATATTTCTTTAGATGGCGCTAGTGCACGGCGAATTTATTTTAACCGCCAAAATCTCGCAAGATCATCGACCTTGATGGATTATCCCCTCGGTATTTCTCAAAGAGTAATAATCTTTGTTTATCACCAGAAAGAATTGACACCCACTCAAGAAACTCTTAAGACAGCACCGTTAATACCGTTGATAATACGTGATAATTCGCGCTCTTATTATTTTCGTGGGCGGAAAAAAATTACTCTTAAATCAATGACAGATATTCTCGTATATAAACAAAAATATTATAATATCCTTAGGAAATGTTCAGTCTTGATTTGGCTGAATTTATATCGATGCAATTATTATCGGCGCTCAATTCAAGACTAAAAATCTTCTAAGAGTATTGTAATATTCTTGATACATATAAGAATATCTATCATTGATTTAAGACTACTTTCTTTTTCCTTGTAATATCTTCTAAAAACAAACCTATCGCTGAGTAAATTTCTCAAGTCCAAAACTTCTTGTTGATTAAGAGTGCGATCTATGATAAAGTAAATATCGAGTCGCTGTTATCGAGAAACGTTATCGGCACGTATTCGAACTGAGATTCTCGAAGCGCAATTTCTCGATGCGCGATTCTCGTCACGCGGCAGTATTCTTCTCCGAGCCGTGTCGTAAGAGAATGAGTCACGGTCATCTTATCGCGCTTGTTCATTGTAACTTCAGATCTGCGTAATTTCCAAACCCCTCTCTCTCTCAGATATTTCTATACTCAATGAGGCGGTCCCGCGCTCAATTTTTACCGAAACGAGGCATCCACGAGGCCCGTATGACCGATCGATGTGAAAGTTTCGCCGGGAATCCAAACACTGCAAATATCTCAAGGTCGGCGGCTGTCTTACTCGCAGATCGTGAGCGCGATTCGAAGGATACCTAAGACAGATGATCGCAGTCAGTTCGCAGATGCCATAAACGCACCACCCGTGCATTCCTCGCGTCCGAAGCCGGAGCAATATGGGCGCGAATAATTGCAAGGGCATGTTACCCACTGGCTCGAAAAAGAACACCGACCCGACTCTTCAGGTCGAATCCACCGCAACAGGTGCGTATCCTGCATACGGGAACTGATATCGCGGACTGCGAAGCTGCGGAGAGACGGCGATCCGATCTTCCTCCTTCGAGAACAGAATAAATGTGTAATGCAACGTGCAGCGTGAAATTTCATCTTGGTTTTTGACTAACCGACGTTATTAATTTTAACGACGTGTGCGATTTAAATATGCCGAGTGTACGGTGGAAGGAAAATTCCAACACTTTTAATTTCAATGGACTTCGAAACGCGTCCGACATCCAATGGAAAAATGTGTCCCTCGGGAGTTACGAAAATACAACTTCTCCTGCAGGATACGGAAGCGCTACGAATTTCATTGGAGGAAGAATTTTATATCGTATCTTTATTTCTTCGATTTTAACAATGACGTAACCGCTCGTCCGAGAATTCTTGAGAAAAATCGTTCGACTTCGAATCTTGCTCTTTCGGTTGAGGCTAATTTTCTTTTGTCCTTGGTAAGATGATGTTGCATGAAACGTGTAAATTAGAAGAGTACAATACAAACGTGTAACGCGGCGATAGTTTATGGGAAATAACGTCGACGTGTTCACAGCGCGAGGACGCGAGTGACAGAATCAATTCACGATGACGATCTTGAGCTGTCTAGTTTCGCGACGGTCGATGTTGTGTGTCAGGACACTTCGAAAGAGTTGGGCCGCCCTGATGGATACTACATTGTCGTTTGCTTACGGTAGGCCCTCGTCGTATTTACGGGCGTGTACGAGTAAAGGAAAAAAGTGAGACACGACACGCAAGGACGCACGCTTTCTAATCGGCACGAATTATTCAGAATTGTAACGTTATTCGCGAGCATTCGCTGCTGCCTCGTAGCACCTGAAGCAGAGGACTCTCTCCTGTGGGAGGTTATAGAAAATTTCGCGAGAACATGTAAACAATAACAGACGAATCTTATTGTATGTCAGGATTCCCGAGGTATAGATCATTCCTTTTCGTTGAATTATCAACGTTTCGTTCACAGATAGCCTGAAATATAAAGACAGATACTTCGATCAATACGAAGTATTACATGCTAAAAATAGGCTATGCCTTCGCTTTCATGTTATATTAATAAGGTCTACTTTTCATGTTACATTAATAAGGTCTATATAGTTATACATTTTGCTCATGTATCATTGATATCGAACACGTATGCTAATATGTATGCTAACACGTATGCTAAAAATCACGAGACATGTCATCAAGCGTCACATCGAATTGTACAAGTTGCTTCAAAAGAGACAACTCTTTTTTTTTGTCACACAACACAGATGAACTTAGATGGCATCTCTCGGTACAGTGTTATTATGTTATCCTCCTGAAGACCATTAAAAACACCTTAAAACGAAGGAGAAGTCCCCTATGCATAATACAATGTACAGTACACAGTGGGTGCGGTGTGTGCGTGTATTGACGTTTTGTGACGCGCACGACGCACGAGTTGCGCCGATGTGCCGCACCGGCAACGACGGTAAATCGCGTAAAATACTGTCCACGATGAAGATATCGATGCATCTGTGATATTTTGAGGAAACTCTCAGTGAAATTATTGTGTAATCATTCACTTATCTGGCTTATGGCTCGTTGATAACCCCGCGGGAAAGTGCAACAAGTTTTGATTTACAAACAGGATAACATGGCAATTGGAAATTCCTATTTGTCTCTTTAAATTTCCTCGTATTTTTTTATATTTTGCCATATGCTACGTTATATAATTAACGCGAGTCATGCGTTGTATACATTATTAACGAGGCTTTTAGTTTTAGTATGGAGATATTCTGCAGCACGATTAATTGAAGGTAGTGTTTTTCCCACTCATACTTGTCATATATTTGTTCCTTCTGATTGTTTGGAAATCGCTATGGAGACAAAGAGCAGAAATTAATTTGATGCTAGTCTTAACAAGTCATTGGAGAAAATATCAAACTTTCATTATATACCTAAAAATATATTCATGTTTTGCATACAAATATACATATTGTACTCTCAAATATATATATATATATATATGACATATAAATTATAACTGAAAATTACAGAATTTAATATTTTACAATTGTTAGAAAACATTCACAAGTCATGTCAGATAAAAATACAAAGGAAAAAAGTTATACTTGTCAAATATATAAAGTAAAGGAAAGTATCCCTCAAAAGTACAATAGATTACCTTGTTGCTGTTCTTGTATGTCACCTATCGCTGCAACTATGACATAGTGGATATGTAAACTATCCGTTACCTTTTCTTATTGTTATCAGGTAGCTTCGAGAAGCATGATTATGTGGAAGATGTGGTATGCAAGCAGGAGGATATCAAAGAAAATGAAATGAAGTTGCTGCCGCTTGGAGGGCAGAAGATTCTGTTGATAAAACAAAAAGGAGAATTACATGCGCTCGGTACGAGATGTACGCATTATGGGGCACTGCTAAACACCGGTGCATTAGGAGAAGGACGAGTGAGGTGTCCATGGCATGGTGCATGTTTCAACATCAAAACAGGTGATATCGAAGACTATCCAGGATTGGATTCCACACCATGCTACAAGGTACCTGAATTCATTGAATCTCCAAATTGTAGTTTTCTTTCCTTACTACCTCATTTTATTACCAACTTCTTTCAGTTTGTTTTTGGCTCGTTATCCTTGTGCATTTTAACAGGTTTCTGTAGACAACGCTGGTCTTGTCCGCGTAAAAGCTAAACGTAAAGAATTGGAAACGAACAGACGTATGAAAGAAATGTCTGTGCGTGATCCTCAAAATAAGGAAACAGTCGTGATAGTCGGCGGAGGACCGGCAGGTGCAGTTTGTGCAGAGAGTCTGCGACAGGAAGGTTTTACAGGACGAATCGTCATGGTGTGCAAAGAGGACGTCATACCGTATGATCGAATTAAAGTATCGAAAATATTCGACTTGGATGTTCACAGAGCAGCATTACGGCCCTCTTCGTTCTACAACGATCACAAAATCGAGACGAAACTTGGCGTAGAAGCCATAGGTAAAAAACCAACACCGATTAATACGTACTTAACACAATTACACAACACTTACACAAATTCTCCTTGCAAATACGTACTCCTTATAATTGCGTCTCCTTATAATATCCGTATAATTACGTTTATCGTGATATTATCGTTATTATTGTCTTTATGTTGTTACAGGCATAGATACATCCCAAAATCTTGTCAAACTAAGTAACAACGAGGACTTGAAGTATAATTACTTATTTACCTGCACAGGCGGTAAGCCGAGAATGATCAATCAGCCTGGAAATAATTTGAAGAATATTTTTGTTATGCGAAATTACACTGACTCACGTGGCATACATTCGTTACTTTCTGCGGACAAACACATAATTGTATTGGGAATGGGTTTCATTGGGATGGAAGCTGCAGCTTATTGTATCGGAAAGTGCGCATCTATTACAGTGGTGGCAGAGAATACCGCACCTTTGTCAGCGGTATTCGGCATTGGCATTGGCTATAGAATTAAGAAGGAATACGAAGCGAAAGGTATTTACAGAATTCCACGCGACACACGCACACATTACGCAACCTGACCTAGCAATAACGATCGATCCTTTTAGGCGTGAAATTTATTAAAAACAGTATTAAACAGTTTATTCCGAAGGACGGGGAAGATGTCATAGCTAAAGTGGAACTTACAGATGGTCAGATTTTACCAGCAGATATAGCTATCATTGGAATAGGAACCACGTTTTACACAGACTGGTTGAGGGAATCGAATATTCAGATGAATGGCAATGGCACTGTACTAGTGGACAAGGTATAACTTCCGTTTCCTTTCTGTTTTTTTTAATTTTTTAAAATTTCGCAGATTTGTTGGATCAGTTACTATTTGTTAATTTGTATTTTAAAAAATTTGACATTTATTCGATTATAGTATCTAAAAACGAACATAGAGAACGTGTATGCCGGAGGTGATATAGCCTATGCACCGATATATGGATGTGACAACATATTGGCCGCAATAGGTCATTATTCTTTAGCCCAATATCACGGTAAAATTGCAGCTCTGAACATATGCGGCAAGGAAACACCGTTGAAAAGCGTGCCGTATTTCTGGACAAGTTTGTTGGGCAAAAATTATCGATACGCAGGTAAAACTTGCATGTTCCCCTATTCATAAAATCTAATTTTTCAGTTGCAATGTAATTATAAATCTTTTTTTTTCACTTTATTTTTCAGGCTACGGAAAGCCAGTTACCATAAAGATCCATGGCTCGCTGGATAATCTGGAATTCTTTGCTTATCATCTTAAAGGTGGTAAAGTGATAGGAATGAGCAGTGTTAATGCCGATCCTGTAGTATCTGATTTCGCGAATTTACTTTACGAAGGAAAGGTATTAACAGAAGAGGAGATTAATGCGGACCCATTTGGTTGGATGAGAAACAAACCAAAAGATGTGTTAACACGATTCAAAGATAGTATCTTAGTAGATGTTTGAATGCTTTACAAAACTAATATAATAATTTCGCATTTTGGAGCAATATTATACCAGTATTAGAACCAATTTTTAATTTGTATATATATGATATACATCTTTTTAGATAAACTTATATAATCTAACCCTTGATATTTTTTTCTCGCAATTAAATGTAATAGATAACTTTTTTGGAGCAATAGTATTAATGGGATAGTTCAGAAAATTCTTTATTGTTTGAAATCTCTAATTTTTGTAGTTAAGAAAAATAATTTTTTTAATTTTTGTGCATGTGTAGTGTACATAATAAAATATAAAATTAGTAAATCATCCTCTCTCTTTTTATTTGTAACACATGAAAATTATAATATCTTATTCATTACTATAGTATTATTTTGATTCTTTGTATACTTATGAAAATTGCATTATCTGCATATCCTATTTCAGCTTTAATATATATAGTCTCAGTGCAGTTAAAAAATATAAAACTTATATTTTTTCGTATATTTTCTATAAAAATTTAAGATACTCTATGTAACATTCAACAGTTGAACTGATCTAAGTAGAATCTTGTCGAAGAAAGAAAGAATTAAAAGTATATTCTTAGATTCAACATCACTTTAATTTACAGAGATTTTAAAATGATATATAATTTTATCTACATGTTGAGAACATATTTAATCCCACTTTTCTCCATATCCTACGTGGCAAAGATGATCAGCAAAAGAAATCTCTTTGTAAAACTTCTGTCTCTTTTCTTCACGGTACTTATCAAGAAATACTTGTGTGTTATCACGCAATGCTTGTGCGTGACCAAAAGATTGTTCAATTGTAAGGTAGGGGTGTCGCAGAATTAACATATTTTGCTCTTCTCTATCAAAATCTTGCCTCATCCTATACAGATCTTTCAGAGATGGATCTTTGACAATACGATACTTCCTGTGAATACAATTAGAAAAATTATATATATCTACGCATATATATATCTATACAAAATCGACAAAGAAATATATGATACATAACAATAAAAACAATCCATATTTTTACTTAATAATATATGAAAAGTATTAATTTTTCTAGAAAAAATTTGGTACTCACCCTCTGAATCTATGTGGAATTGTACATTTGTACTTGAATAAAGTTAATCCAAGCCGCATTATGTATCAAGTGGTGAATTGCTTATATGAGTTGTTAACACCTGAATATTTATTAATCTCTACAGTTATACCCTGCAGTTATACAGGTTACACCTTGCTTTCCGAACGATACGTCGCATTAAATTTCACTTTTAGGTTAGGGTAGGTTATCAGTTGATATATTCAGGAACTACACTGTTCACTGAACTCTTGCATCTGATTGGTGTATATTTTTAAAACGAAGAAAATATACCAATCAATTGCAAGAGCTCATTGAACGGTGTAGTATTAGGTCTGTTCGTTTTCGCTGCACCGCTGAACTAGTGCAATAAGTTGAAGCGAGGCAAGTATATGTTTTTTCACTTTAACTTATTGCACTAGTTCAGCGATGCAGCGAAAGTGAACAGACCTATTGAGTGCACACGATACAGAAGGCAAATGAAATTCTAGAAATAAAGTCAGCGGCACACGATGCTTGTTTTCGTGCTGGATGGAAATACCGCGGTTTGATTGGTGTATTGTCATCCATTTTTGCAAATGCACCAATCAGAACGCAGTATTTTTATCCAGCACGAAACAAGCATCATGTGCCGCTGGCTTAATTATGCGGAAATTTTGAAAATGTATCGCGAATAAGTTGTTCTAACAAATTATTTTTGTTACAATAACTGTATTACTACTATTATACACTGATAATCACTGAATTTTTTTCCATAATAAGAAAAGAGAGAGAGGGAGAGAGAGAGTGAGAGAGNGGGGGGGGGGGGGGGGATATAAATATTAAATAAAAATTATTTACGCTCATATATTTGGCTGTTATTTCCTATACAATTATATATATTTATATTACTAAGATATATATTTAAATATTCGTGGACTGCAAAATGATGTGTAAAAGAAGATAAATGTCCAGAAAAGTAATTAAACGAGAAAATAACACACGATTTACTGCTATCTAACCGATAATTTATACAAATATTATTGTAAGCACAATAATATTTATCTTCTGTTCGTCTTGCCAAGTTTCCTTTTGCCTGAAAATAGATGTTTCGGCATCTTCGTACCGATAAATCGATCGGCTTCACCCTTGAGACCCTTCTTAGCTATTTTCTTCTTTTGTGCCTTTTGTCCAATCTTCGTCAATTTCGATTTCATCTGCAAAAAAATAGTAAAATAACATCACGTTTTCAATTATTTCTGAAAAATATGGAGGTGCCTCAAGTAAGGAGTACTCAGTACAGCAGTGTCTCAATTCAGTAGCCTGATTCATTTTTTCAAGAAGAAATAAACTCTTTACTTCCTCAATTTTAAGATTTGTTTTCCTGAACACCTCAGGTACGTATGTTAGAACGCTCAATTCATCGAGCCCTTGAAACACAATAACAATACATTCTCTAACTTACCGCTTCATTTTTAACACCCATCTCATCTCGCGCTGGTTTCGAGCTGCTACGAGCACGCGACTGCGACATTGATTCCAAACGCATGCGTTTCTTAGCGGGTTGCGAGAGCGATCTGGACCGTCCTCTCGTTCGCTTGAAGTGCGCCTACAGTAACAATATTACAGTACAATGACGATAACATACATCATCATATTACAATTAGGAAATAATCAGTTACAGTATTATCTATACGTTATTTTCTTAACTTGTTTCTTTACATTTTTATTTTAAGGATATTCTTGACATTTTTATACTTACGTTTTCAGTATCTTCCATATCTACGCCCAATTCTTCCATCTGTTCCTTCAACTTGGAGACTGACCGATCGCGAACCTTTGCTGTAGCTGTACGTGGCATAACAGGCTTCGTGGAGGCCTTCAATATACGTGCTTCGTCCTTCATAATGGCCTTTTTCTCCCGAATCTGTTTCGCCAATTGTTGGATCTCGTGCATCGTCTCGGACAGTTGGGGTATCTTGTAATCATACATACCGGTCTCTCCCCTCAGCTGCTCTTCCTTTTCCAATTGATTCAATTTCTGAAAACCATGAAACGACATAGAAAGATATATTTGCCGCACGATGCAGCCTCGTACAACCCGATGAAGTAGAATGGACACTGACTTCGAATATCTCTAAATCTATGTAATCCGCTATATTGTGACCCTCCCATATTTCTGGTATGATGTCGTATTTTTCATCGCCCTCGATATCGTAATTTTTCTTCAGATCGAGGACGTAATCGTCTCCCATCTCTTCCTCGATATCTCTCTCAAGTTTCCGCTTTCTCTCGGCTTTTCCCGCGATAGCTTGCCTCTTCTTCAGTACGCTCTCTGGTATACATGGAGCACGGACTTTATCGTCCCTCTTTGTTGGTTGAGCGACATGTAATCTGTTCAGAAGGCCCTCCACCTGTAATCAATGTAAGTTGTACACAACAATTGTGCATCGCTATCTTGTTGTTTTGAGTCAAATAAGATCTTCAGATAAACTACCTTTTTAGTTTTGATCTTCTGATCAACTCTGTAAGCTAAGAGCCGTTCACAGGCTTCTGTTTTGACTTCCATCACACCGAAATCTGTGATGGTACTCATTTCCAACATTGGAACGTTCTTGTCATTTTCCAGTGGTTTCAGAACACTTCTCTTTTCTGGAGATAATTCTTCCAGTCGTATGATATCCATTTTATTCATTACTATTATCAAAGGCTTGTTTGTGAACAAAGGCTTTATGGACTCAAATAGTTTTACCTATATAATAAAAATAGCTATTAGACTATGTTATGTTATTAATTACATACTATTTGAACATTATAAGTATCAGTATGTAGTACCACAGTTTACCTGCTCTTCCAGAGAATGACCGCATTGTTCTGACAAATCATAGAAATAAAGCACAGCGGCTCTTAAGTGTGCAAGAGCTGTCACTGCTTGCATTTCTATGACATTCCTTTCCTCTAATGGGTGATCTAATATTCCAGGTGTATCGATCACCTGCCACCTCAAATATTTATAGTCAGTATGCCCCACATACAAGGATTTTGTTGTAAAAGCATATGGTTGAACTTCCACATCAGCACGAGTAATCTATAAATTGTCATTTAAAATAATATAAAATATCATATATATATATATATATATATATATATATTTATATTTATTTATTTGCTTATAATATTTACTTTATTGATGAAACTGCTTTTGCCAACATTTGGGAATCCGCATATAATTATTGTGCGTGTGTAAGGATCTATACTTGGTAATCGAGACAAATGCTGACGGACTTGTTCCAAATATGTCAAATTGGCTGCTTGTCTTTTCATAATAGTGGCCATTCGACCCAATGCAGCTTTCTTTAATTGTTTGCATCGGTATAGAGAATCTCCATATTTCAGCAGTCGGACATAATCTTTTGCTACACTATAATAATAAAATAAACATTGCAGAGCAAAGTTACGTATGTGTCAGTTATAAACTATTATTTTCTTACTTATCGATCAAATGCCTAGCAGTATTTATCTGTCCAAGAGCCAGCTTATAATGATCCTTATCATATAAAACATTCATCAAGTCGGCATAAAATGGATGAACATCATCCAACTTGGGAAATTCTTGTATAATGTGAGACAATTTGTCATGAAAGTTTTGTTGAGTAAACTTTACTTTCCGTATGTAAAACGCGCGTATTCTTGTGATCTTATAATGCTTGTGAATAACTGTTGGTGTTTTACGTTGTGTTTTGGATAAGATTATATCAATAAAGTCCTGTAAATAGTAAAATATGTGATTATGGCACAGTTTTATGAAAAAAGGGTTATTTTCCAACCCGGTATGAGAAAATAATAAATTATAAGAAAGAGAAACAATAAATAAAAAGAGTATTTAAGTCTTTAATTAGAAAAATGAATGTAAAGAAAACCAATAAGAGTCAGTATGTCAAAGTTAGTATATAAACCAGAGATAATTTACTAGTAATGGATCTTAACAGAATTATTTTAAAAAATTTTCTTTTTTCAAAGGATATTAATAGAATCATCTACCAATAATGCTTCGGGAAAATCCTTTGTTATAACGGTAACCACATGGTAATCTCCTAAGGCCGAGTGTCATTTACATTTCATATTAATAACCTCTGGTTCATTACTATTAAATTATATCTAGTTTCAGTATTAATTTTGGCTTTAGCTCTACTAGTTCTACTAGTTCTCATTGATCCTCCTTATAATTTATCCTTTTTCTGAATAAATTACAAATATATATAAAATCAAGGTAACTAACCTTTGCAGTTGGCACGACCGTAATTTTCTTAAAATTATACAAGGCCATCGTGAATTATTCAGTTTTTATACTTTGCACAATACGAAATTACAGTAAAATAAATACTATTCAGTGTGATTTACACAAGAACTAAATTATTCCTTGAATCACGCCTTGAAAAAGTATGAATTTTCGAACACGTGTTCTGCTTCGGAACTTCTGAATGCAGCAAAGAGAGCGGAAAACTAGTGTTCTTTAGGTAGTTTGCAGCGCCACATACGGTAAGACACAGACTAGAGTCCATTTCATGCTGTGTTTGGAGCAGTTTTGGAGAGCTTAAAGAAAAAATATGATTGGCTTATGCTACACTTCAAAGCGTTTGCAGCGTGAAATGGATCCTAGCCCCAACAAACTTAATTGAGTCATGTGACATGCGCGCTATTTAAATTCATGCGCTTGTGAGCTTTACTTATTTACAGTATATATAAACTATAGCCAGTATTCATACGCCAGTATTCGACGATTTTCCGACGGTATAAGCAATTCCAAAGAAAAAAGTTTAGTCTCGAGAATGCCCCACGCATAGGGAGCATGAATAAATTTATGTATATGAATATATCAGTTAGAGGAAAAGACAAAAGAAAGTGCAAGATTAGAATAATTAGTATAATTATAAAATTATAAGAAAATATTTATGCAGAAGTGCAAGTACTAAATGATAAGGATACGTGATATTGTAGAGAATGTAAAGAGATGAAAATTACAGTATTACAGTATTAAAATGTAAATGAAATAATAGACCAAAGTGTAAACCAGTCCCTTTCTTGGCAAAAAAGCTGAAGTAATAAATAAATATAATATAAACATATATACACACATATATATATATACATACATACACACACNTGTGTGTGTGTGTGTGTGTGTGTGTGTGTGTGTGTGTGTGTTTATATGTATTTATATATTATTATATATAAATATATATTTATATAAATATATATATATATAAATATATAAATATATATATATTTTTTTCAATACGCTTATTACACTTCATAAAATAATACATGCGAATTTTCACCGAATTTTAACTCAGCACTATACATAATTACATATCAGTTAACATTATGGAATATTTCATGTTTATTTTTACAAAGTCAAAATACCAAAAACGACTCGAACGGACAGTCAATGTAGATCACCAAAGACTCAAGTGGCATCAAACGTAGTAATAAACTTCTCCTTATACTTCTATCAGCCTTAAGGTGAAGCTTTCGGTTTTAACTCGTCGTAACATGGTCTCAAGAAGATTGAGTTCTTCTTTGCTGGATTATAATATTCATGACCCTAAAATAAATGTCAATCATCAATAACTGCTTTGCATAATATATAATTTACGGTATACTCTAATTTTTATTTTAAACGATGCCGATACCTTAGACCAATCATAGGAGACAGCGTATGCGAATATTTGTCCATTGTGATTAAAGCAGCAACGCGCGATGGGTTGTTCCATCGTTTCGGACGATTTTAGTTTTGTGCGCGCGTCTTTATCCCAGAAACCGAAAGTACCGTCACTTCCTACGGTAGCCACGGTTCCATGTACCGGGTGGAATGCAATATCGTTAACCTGTTAATAAAATCGATACATTGTGAAAAGAATCATAGCAGTCAGAGCAGAACTTATAACCGTATAGGCCATAGTTTACAGCATAGATATCCTGATATCCATTAGGCGTGCCATTTGTTCGATGACATTTGAAAGTGAAGTTTTCCTTGGAGCTAAGGTTCAAATGATGGATTGCAACACGTCCTTCCGTACTACCAATTGCAAAACCAGTCGGAGCTTTTTTCTTATCCTTGAAAATCGCTACACAACGATACTGATATTTCAAACTCAACTCGACAGTTTTATACTCGCGTGGACTACCTTCTAGTTGGTAGACTGTTAATCCACGTCCAGCTGTTCCCACAACAGCCATAGGATAATCCTGCAATAAAAGTTTACATCAATGTTTCTCTTTATTGGCTTCGAAAAATATATATTTGAAAGTATGAATACATGTATATACATACGACATCAGCACAGTAACATCTTTCAGGTAAATTAATAACCATTGCTGGTTTAGCACTGCGCAAATCCCAAAACTGAAAAATTTATATTATTATTGGATATTATATATTTTATATATTGTATCTTAGAGTGGTAAAAGTAAGTACCAAAAACAAAATCAACGAACTGAAAAAGTATTTGAATAAAAGTGCTTGGCAAATATAAAGAAACCAACCTTTAGTGTTTTATCCCAGGAACCAGTCATTAAACAGGAATAATTACTAGCCTTTATCCAATGACATGTTTTGATTGGTGCGTCATGTGCCGCTACTTGCACACTCTGATTTGTGGCCAGATCCCAACATTTTGCCGTTTTATCACACGATACCATGAACACTTTAGTGCCATCCTGAAATTATCATAATTGAATGAACTTGCCACAATTACACATTAGGATATATACATATTGTCACATTAGGATTAATATGACGTTTCTCTTTATATATTCATACTGTATTAGTTATGATTGATTAGACTCACTATGATTGGTATTCATAGACGGATTTTATATTTAAAATAGTCTTAAGTTCATCTTCGGATACTGTACAGCTTGCTTAACTGGTTATATATGAGATATCTGAAGATGAACTTAAGACGGTCTTAAATATAAGATCTGACTATGAATATTAGCTTATATGATTATCAGTGAACAGGAAAGGATAAAATAAACACTAACGTCACTCCAGCATACGTCCAAAACTGGAGCTGCCATACTTTGCATTGATTTCGGTACAGTCTTGCCAGACTGCTCGACTTCCCAGCAACGGACATTGCAGTCCCAAGAACCGGCTACAAGGAAATTCTGTTGAATCGATGGTGGACTAAATGCCAAACTCGAAATGGAATCGTCTGGAGGTGAAACAACCTCAAAATCTTGCATAGGATTTGAGGAAGATGACGTTCCCGTCCTTAAAGTGCTGCTCTGATTAAACATTGCTAACGGATTTGATCTTGTTTACTTCCTCAGGCACTGTGTTAACAAAGAGGTGTTCATTGCGCGTAATATTTCTTTTTTCGCAAAGTATATGGTACTTGTTTACCTTACTTCGCACGGTTTATATCCATCGAACGCGGAGGTTGCTGGAAAATAAGAAGTGATAAGGTTGCCAATCTCGACTTGCCGTTTTTTCACAATGGAGAATTCACTATACACTATACACGACATCTAGCGTGCAAAGATTCGATATTTAATAGAGCTGTGTTCCAAAATCTTACTTGACGAATAGAGTAACTTTTAATTGACCAATCAGCAAGAAGAATGAAGATTTCTTCGTCATGATTAGTTAATTAATCCTACACTATCCGTCGAATAAAATTTTGAAACGCAGCTTTGAACAGTTTGTTTTGTAAAATTTCTAATGCAAGAATTTTTATCTTTAAAAAAAAACAGAATCTTCTATCGGATAAGTAAATAGTTGCATTCAGCGGAAAAAGCAGTTCGATGAGCGCTCAGTGATTATTATTTATAACTGGAGCATTTTTTTAGATTCTTGATAGATCTAGGAGTATGTACCGATCAGGAGCGATAATCAAGCGATTCTTGAGCTGCTCCTTCTGTTGAATCCAGCCAATGAAACATTAGACAGTCACGCGGGAACTTTGAACGACTTTCTACCGTAAGCAAATGTTCTCTCAACAAATATTGTGTTTATAATAATATAATAATATAATAATGATTCTTGCATACAGATAATCACTAAATCTCTAAATTTTCCATAATAATAAGGAATATTATCAAATAGAAATTATTCACGCTTATATATTTAGCCGTTAGAGTTTCTTAAATATAATCATATATTTATACAATCAAGATGTTTAAGAATGACCCATCAAAGTGGAAGTCAGCTTGTCAAGAAACCAATACTCTACCTCGCAAAGGAAAATCTTATGATAGAGACAATGATAGAGAGACATAGAGAAATTGGTAAATAAGTCAATGAAGAAGGACGAGTCACCAAAAAGGAATAGAAAGATTCCATTGCAAGTGCAAGCGAGTTCAAACAAATTACCATCAACTTCTAGTCAAAAAACAGGTGAAAAGAAGCTCTCAGCGAAGCCTAACAATGAACAGAACACGTCTGCATATTTCACAAGTATTCCCAGCAGCAACAGTTTTAGCAAGCATGTAAGTTATACTGAACAGAATGTGCCCAAAGTTCAGGTAAACGCTCATAGTCGATCTTATCAGAATCTAGACAAGTTTGTACAAAAAATGCCTTCCAAACTGATCAACAATGACATCAACGGTGCAACTAAAAACCTGCAAGAACCGTCACATTTATGCGCACCGAAGTTAAAGCCAACCACTACCCCGCAGTATAGTAACAAAGATGCGGAAGCACAGAAGAACGCGATTGGCTCAGCCTTCAGGAGTGCCAGAGATGAGTTATACATTCAAGAGATGAAGAACAATCGAGGAGGGGAACCGAAGAAGATCTTGGCGGCAGCGGGGTGGCTAATTCTCCATTTGTCTATCCGTTCAAGCGAGACAAAGAGAAATTGATGGAGAGTCACAATAATCGGGCCCAGAACGCAGCTGACGGGTCGTAGACTAAAAAATATATAGTAGCATATATACAGCGAAACGCAGTACGATAAAGTTAAAAAAAACGAAATATCCAGGAAAATAATTAACCGAGAAAATAATATATACGAAGTAGTAATCTGCTATAACCGAGAATTTATATAAAGTTTATTGCAGGCAAAATAAGATCTGTTCGTTTTGTCAAATTCTCTTTTTTTAGCTGAAAATAAATATTTCGACGTCTTATAAATCAGTCAGCCTCATCCTAAAGATTTTTCTCCTACTTTCTTCTTTGTTCTACGTTTTTAATATTCAATCATTTGCGACTAAAAATACTGCGATACAATTCAAGGACGAAATGAGACGCTACAATTGACTCTTTTGAGAGATAGTCTCTCATTTTATACGAAACTATATATTTATTACAAAACTCAGCGTTATGAAAGTAAACCACGTGACAAATTAAAAAATTCGACAATATTTCACAATAATCTGTAATTAATAGTAGCCTGCGTTGTTTTATTCGAATTTATTTGTAGTTTTTCGCGGTACCAGATCCGTAAGTACGATCCCATTCAATGTAGATGTTCAAGTCCGACTGCGAGACGCTGGGTCGTACGTTGATCAGAGCCTCCTCGAAGTCGCTTCTCGTGATATGCCTCACCTCCTCCATCCCGATGTCCTCCAGCTGGCTGAACGGGATGCTTCTGATCGGCTCCATGCTGGCTTCTTTGCACAGATTCGTCATATCGGCGCCGGAATATCCCGCGGAACGCTCCGCGATCTTTGTTACATCCTCCGGAGTGAGATTATGTCGCACCGAGGCCAACAGATTGTTTATTATCTGCTCGCGCGCCCCCAGTTCCGGCAAAGGCACGTAAAGCCGCTTGACGAGACGTCTCCTTGCCGCCTCATCCAACTCCTGCGGTCTGTTGGTCGCACCGACGATCAGGATGCGATCGTCGTCCGAGGTCGTCGCGCCGTCCAGCTGCACGAGAAACTCCGTCTTCAGCCTCCGGGAGCTCTCGTGCTCCGTCTCGGACCTCTGAGTCAACAGCGAGTCTATCTCGTCGATGAAGACTACCGAGGGTTGATGGACTCTGGCTACCGCGAACAATGCACGTACCATCTTCTCACCCTCGCCGATCCACTTGGAAGTGAGGGAGCTCGCGGAAATCGAGAAGAACGTTGATTTACTCTGCGAAGCTATGCACTTGCCGATGAGAGTCTTGCCGGTTCCCGGCGGACCGAAGAGCAAGATACCTCTCGGCGGACGACGCAGACCGATGAAGATGTCCGGCCGCAGCATCGGGAATACCACCACTTCCTTGATGATCTTCTTAGTGTATTCCAATCCCGCGATGTCGTCCCATGTTACCGACTTGCCCGAGTCCATGATCTCGTTCCTGATCAGCTCGATCATGTTCGGCTCGATGTTCCTCAGCCTCTCGTCCTCCACCTCCTCTGTCTTACCGTCAGCTGCGTTCTGGGCCCGATTATTGTGACTCTCCATCGATTTCTCTTTATCTCGCTTGAACGGACAGACGAATTGAGAATTAGCCGCCCCTCGGCCGCCCAAGGTCTTCTTCGGTACCCTCCCTCGATTGTTCTTCATCTCTTGAATGTATAACTCGTCTCTGGCACTCCTGAAGGCCGAGCCAATCGCATTCTTCTGTGCTTCCGCATCTTTGTTACTAAACTGCGGGGTAGTGGTTGGTTTTAACTTCGGTGCGCATGAATGTGACGGTTCTTGCAGGTTCTTAATTGCACCATTGATGTTATTGTTGATCGGTTTGGAAGGCATTTTTTGTACAAATTTGTTCAGATTCTGATAAGATGGACTAGCGTTTACCTGAACTTTGGGCACATTCTGTTCAGTATAACTTACATGCTTGCTAAAACTGTTGCTGCTGGGAATACTTGTGAAATATGCAGACGTGTTCTGTTCATTGTTAGGCTTCGCTGAGAGCTTCTTTTCACCTGTTTTTTGACTAGAAGTTGATGGTAATTTGTTTGAACTCGCTTGCACTTGCAATGGAATCTTTCTATTCCTTTCTGGTGACTCGTCCTTCTTCTTCATTGACTTATTTACCAATTTCTCTATGTCTTTATCATTGTAAGATTTTCCTTTGCAAGGTAGAGTATTGGATTCTTGACAAGCTAATGGTTTTATAATACTTAGTGCGTAGTCCACATTGTCCAATCCTGACTTCCACTTTGATGGGTCATTCTTTACATCTGGTAGTTGAGATTTAATCTGTTTCCAATAATTGTTCACCCCATCCTTGTCTTTCACTAGAGTATGATAGTCTTCGAGGCCATTTCGAAGTAGTGCCGCTGCGGTATCCTCTGAATCACTGTGTAATAATTTATCAATTAAAAAATGTATACATGATAAGCTTAACAATATAGAAAATTATATTTTACTTACAATAACTTCGCTGTCATATATTTCAAGGCCAGAGACCTGCGTTCAATATCAGCGACTTCAAAACTGTCTTTATCCTGTTTGGAGAATTTCAATGTATGATACGCAGCCAGAAAATTATTCTTTTCCGTCTTCAGATCTTGTGCAGCATGTTGTGCATTCTTGTCGGAAGAGCTCATGTCTATATCTTAGTAAATAGTACCTTAAAATATTTGAAATATTTACATTTGAAGATAGATTATACAAATTCTATCATGTTTAACAATTTAACATATTTAACAAGTTTCTTCTTCTTTTATTCTAATAATATCCTCTTTGAACATATAACCCTTTTAAAGCATAATATCAAAATTGACTTGGTCTGTTTAGCACTACAAATTCATATTTTTACATGTGACACTTGTTATTGTTTTAGCGTAGAAGATTGTTGATTGGTTCGTGTTGCTTGTACTTCTCGCACTTGATCCCTTCGCTCTCGCTTCTTCCAACGCCCGAATATGCGTCTTGTTCTAAGTAACAAAAAATGCAAAAAGTGCAAGCAACCCAACAAGCCTCGTGTGTCAGAGAATAAACTCGTCTACAGTTTGGCCAACATGACGCGAAATTAATTCCACTTGTGTGATTGGCTGATCGAATGATGGGTTTGGTGATAATTTACAGAAAACGTTGTTACCAAACAACCAAAAATGCGCAGTATGAATTGTAACTTGCAATTCAATTCCGATATTTTGTATCGTACTATTTTCTCTCAGTAATTGAAGTTGAGCTTGAAATTTATTACAAACAATTTTCATCCACTTGAAATTATCAGTGAAGAATAAAACTACCGATGTACCGATTGTTACGATACTACACGGATATGTCGGTAACATTGAAGTTGGTTTGAATGCATACTGCCCGCGCCAAATGCATACAGGGTAACCGATGGATACAGTTCGTGCGCAACATGGCAGGCATTTGCAAATCCCGAAACACATTTCGTAAGTAACATTAATATTAAAGTAATATTTAAGTCGTATCGTCAATTAAATGTTATGGTATAAGAGAATATATATATTGAACATCACGTATGCATCAAGTTGGCAATCTCCGATGTTCGCCGGTGCACGTTCTCGTCTAATTTTGAAATGATAGATGCATAAAGTCATAAACACTCGTGCAGTTCATAACGATGTCCGTAATTCATACACAACATTCGCGAGCAACACAGTTTGCATCGCGCGGGAATGCTCGTCTGCGACGCGCGCTAGTTTCGAAATACGTAATTATTAACTGTATAAACTTTGCAGCGTTCATTGTGTCTGTGGCTTGTTTCTTGGCAGAATCATACTGCAGAGGTAAACCCGGCTCGCACTTCGAGCAGATTCGGCATCGTGCGATAGCGAGAAATATCAGAAATGAAATATAAATTCAAGAACGTCACGAAAAAGGTAAATATTATTTTTGAGCAACCCGGAAAAAAATGTCATATATATATAGTAATATAGTTATATTGTTGGCGGATCAAATGATCGGTAGGATTGAATATGTGTAGCGCCATTTGCCGCCACTTCCGTTTCGCGCCCACGGCGGAAGCAGGGTCTCGTGCCGAGAGCTATCTTCTCCGCGCAGGCCGCGGTGCTCCCCGCCGTGCGCGGTAGCTTGTCCTCAGGTGCCGCGCGCGGCGCCACAGCTGAGGCGAGGCGAAGAAGAAGCGTTCGCTTCGCCGTCTGAGTTAGTTAGAGAGTTAGAAGGTGGCGAGAGTAGAGAGAAGCGTGAGAAAGTTGAGCGAGAAAGTTGAGCGAGAGTGTTGAGTGAGAAGCGGTAGTGAGTAATAGCGGAGGAAAGCGTAGAGATTGTTGTAGTGTTGGCGAGAAGACTGTAGGAGAGAGGAGCGCGGAATAAAGACATTGGAAGAGAGAGAAGCGAGTCAAGCCATTCTGACCCCGCCTGCACCTTCGTTGCTCCCGTTTGGCGTTTGTGGTAGGCCAGGAAGCGGAGCTGCCTAACCCGCGCTCTGCCAAACCGCAGTCACCGCATATGTTCACTGCAAACACTTCATTCACAGAGACATAAAACCGGACAATTTTTTAATGGGTGTTGGTCGGCATTGTACTATATATATTACTATATATTTAATTTACCGTTATTCATTGAGAAACGAAATAAAAGGTTTTGATGTCCTGAAGATGACTTTTGTAAGCGAGCACGCGTTGATTGACCTCGAATACGAATAGTTGGAATCAAGCTGGAAGTTGCTGTATAATTTTCACGGGGAGAAAGAGAGAGAGAGAGAACGAGAGAGGACGTTCAGACCATTCTTGTGGTAATAATAATCCTGTAAAATTTTATATCTCTACTTCTACAAACGGAGATGCGATTCGCGCGCGCGAGAAAATACGTGAGTGTCTTGTGAGAGGGAAAGAAAGAGAAAGAGAGAGTGAGTGAGAGTATGAGCACTATCGTAAGGCGAACTGACATCTTGCTTCTTAAATTTTGTTTTGTCTTCAGTGTATAGTGTGAGCATACTAACGTACGTGGAATGTTGAGAAAATGTTAATATTTTTCTTATCAGGGTGATATGTTGGCAGCGCCAAAGATATTATTACACGTATCTATTGACGCGTTCGAACTGAATAACTTTTTTTTACATGTATAAACGATGTCTCCCCGATATAATATTAATGAGTAAAGTTTAAAGAATACCGTAATGTTAAGGACAACCGTCTAATTTTTAAGTATCTACTACCATACTATATCGAGTATAAACGGAGCGAGTGACTCCATGGAGAAACGAACAAATGATTAACGATTCTATATCATTAGGATATCCCTCGATTTACTCTCTTTCTGTCTGTGAATATGTTGTTTACTCGCGACTGCGGAAATAAAATTATTGTGAGAAAAGAGGGTGATGGAATCTTGATTAATGCGAGCTAGTTACAGGCTTACTTTCGTCTAAGAATAGATACGGATGATCGGAGGACAGAGAGAAAGAGAGAGAGAGATACATATATAGTTCGCTCAAGAAGTACTCCTGTAACTCGGTCTAGCTGAATAATTCTTCCGTATATAGTTTTAATAGCTGAGATTGTGTAGCTGTTTCACACGTACTGTTGCTTCAACATTAAATTCGATATTTTACGTACACATTTGCGACTTCATATTTCATGATCAAGCGTATATTCTTCGTACACATTACACACACACATACAACGTACAACGCTGAGAAAAAAAGTCATTTCGAATAGTCTGAATATTTATTGATATATCGACGATTATTAGGAGACATGTTTCTCTCTCTATCTCGCGTTTATGGTCTCAGTTGTATTATTCATTTTAGCTGCTAAACTCCATGTCCATGTTCTGCAACATTAGTTCCAAAAGGAAGAAGTTATAATCACACGACAAACACACACACACACCCACACACACACACACGTTTAACGAATAATATTAGTACGTCACGTCCTCGTCGTGGAAGGTACTACCAGTCGTCCGGTCAGCCTTAATACGAACTGCTATGTACGATTGCGAAAATAAACTCGATTCCGGAAATCTCAAAGCTTATTATATATTATGGGGATAAGAAGAGGGTCACACACATACACCGCCTGACGCGGACACTTTCTTTCGAGACCGTGAAAGATGTAATCATCCTCGATTGAATGCGTGGTTAATGATTATTATTATTATTATTAAAGAGAATAAATGAAAGTGTAAAAGAGAGAGAGAGAGAGAGAGAGAGAGAATGCGCGCATCACTATGCTGTGTGTGAGAGTGAGTGAGAGAAAAAGAGAGAAGAAGAATGAATGAGCGAGTTAAGTTAATAAAGCAACTAACGATATACGCACTTAATACTATCTGCTGTGTGTATGTGTATGTATATACACGTACATATATACTATATGAGAGGATACCGAGGGTGTATGTGTATATACATATCGCACATACGCATATCTGTATGTATAATAAAATTGTGACAGTAATTAAGGCATACGTTATTTCATAAAATACTGTGAGGAATATACATCTCAAACACGGTTTATCTGCTCTCCTTTTATCTCTCTTCTAATAAAAGAACTAGAGAAAAATATTGTATATTACTGCTATATGAATTTCTGTTTTTCACTATATGTTAATTACGAACGATGCATATATATATATATACACACATAGCAACGCTGAAAGTGTATTGATGCGTTGGTCAGAAGCAGGTGGCCGTACCTGCTCCGGAAGACCACGCGTACTTTCTATATTGTGATATCAATCACCGTTTAGGGTGTATATACATAAAGAACGATTATGTAAATATTTTTAGATCGTATATATTTGACAATTCTTAAGGACACACACACACATATATATATATATATATATATATAATACGGAAAAGTCGCCGGAGAGGCACACAATTTCTCTTCTGAATTGTTAATACTACGTGACACGATTGCGTTTATATAAAAATAACGAGAGAACAGGCTGGGAGGAGCCCGGCAGCCGCGATGCGTCGGTCGTCGCGCTGTAATCCCCGTCGGAAACAAATAAACATTGCACGTGTGCGAATTACGAATTACTAAATACGTCCTCTGTACCTCTGTAACTCGCCGATTACGCAAATTTTCCGTATGAAAGCTTAAAGAGCTTAAAATCCCGGAAAAATATCCGCACATGTATATAACTCGCTCGCTCATTTTCTTTTTCCTCTTCCTTTCTTCAACGAAGCGTAACGGGACACGGCACATACCGCAGAATATCACTATCGACGCAGGAGCTGTTAGAAAAAAAGTCTCTCGTGTATCATGGCGCTTGTTACTTCTTGCACAGCTTGCCACGAGAAATAAATATTATGAAGCGATTTTCCCCTGTTTTTAATAGCAGAGCATAGATGATCAATTTTCCTCATTTTTCATTCAATTTTTGCGTGCCCTCGCTAACAGAGAACGATCGTTCTGGGCCGTTACAAGAATCTTTGTGAAAAAGATCCCGGCAGCGAGGGAACTAAAATAGATCTAAAAAATTGGTTTTGTTTGAAATGACACCGAGTGTTTTGTTACGAAATTATGTATATTCAAAATAAATTTTTGGAAGGAACAATAATGATCGTAACCGTAAATTCTTAATGTAGATACTGGGCATCATGACAGTTGATAATTTGATGAATCGGCAACAATTTTCCGAAATCATCAGCAGCAATCATGATACACGAATGTTCGAAAATAACGCGCCTAATTGGAAATTAATCGATGTTTGAAAAATGATCGATGTTCGTTCATTAAGGATGCGTCGCACGAGTTTGTCGAATGTGCCGATTGGCTGTCGGATAGAGAATTCCTGGAGTCCCTAACATTTTCTCTAGATGTAATACCGTTTGGGTCCTAGACCCGATTTCACCAACACGAGTTAGTCAAATCGATCGATTAAAAATTTAACATTTGAGCTGTCCAATCGCATAGTTGTTAGATAGATACGATTGGTCAGTTCTAAGCTGAACTGATTACATTCAGTTGCCAATTTGATTAACTCGCGTTGGCAAAACCGGACCCTAATCTCTTACCTGTCTTAGGCCGGTATTCATGGACAGATCTTATATTTAAGACTGTCTTAAGTTTATCTTCAGATACTCTACAGTTCATTTCATTTGGCTACTGCATTTCGCTAAGTATTTGAAGATAAAGACAGTTTCAAACATAAGATGCGACTGTGAATACCGGCCTTATCCGTTCCTGTTGCCTGATTGGTTTCTATTGTGCATAAGCCTTAACTCTTTTACGTGGCCACCGTTGGCCGCTGGTATCGCTGGTTGCGCGACGAACGATGCGCGGAACTCGTGCGCGTGGCATGACCATTGGCACCATTTCTCACGAGTGAACCTACCGTTCTCTCTCACTGTGCTGTGGTGGTGACATGGCGTCGTTAGCGGTATCAATAGCGAAGAATGAGTTTATCGTGGGTGGGAAGTACAGGCTGATGAGGAAGATCGGCTCAGGTTCGTTCGGCGATATTTACCTCGGCATCAACATTTCCAATGGCGAGGTATGGCGCGAGCGAGCGAGCGAAAGAAAGAGAGAGAGAGAGAGAGAAAGAGAGAAATCCTCTCGGCAGTTAGCACAGCTGGCTGCTGTTGGTTCTCGACTGTCTCCGTCGTGTTTCCCTTCACGATCCTGTCGATTCGTCATCGTCCGCACGGTCGGTGTTGCCCTTTCATTCACACCGATAACGACGTGGCCTCCGCTAAGTCTGATCGAGAGATCTCGCGCGACCGTTCCCAGGAAACTCGCCGATATTCGGCCGCTGTCGAAAGCGGATTTCTACGGATTTCTCCTCACCGTTCAAGACGTTTCCCGTTGTCAAACGCTCCCTGCTATCAATCCTTCGACGATGCAGATGCGGGACAGGTAATACGCTCCGGACACACGCGGATCGTCGAGCGTCATCGAGTGACGTACGCGTCGCGCTCAAGGTATAAATATAAACTTACGTTCGTCGTAATAATAATTATCGGCGCGAGCAACGACGGGTTGAGATCTTTATGAGATCGGTAAAGGCACACACACACACACACTCTCTCTCTCTCTCTCTCTCTCTCTCTTTTGCGTAAAAAGAAAATTGAATTAACTGCGATGGGCAATGGACATCATGACAGTTGATAATTTGATGAATCAGCAGTTTGTCCGTTTAGCAAAGTCGATCGTTGCTGGTGTTACCTTTCAGTACAGCTCGAGCAGAGTTCAGATATGATCCACGTGTAGCTTGAAATTCGGCTAGTGACTTATATATGCTCTCTATGCACTTGAAAAGCTTACTCTGATAACTGTGTGTCATGTCAGCGTGAAGTCAAGTGGTAAACCGCGTTATTATTGAATTAACTTCTCAACTAAGACTTTTAGACATTGGAATACAAGTATCGTGTGTTATATTTATATTTTATTTCTACATGTTCAAGCCTGTTCTTAAAAGCACATTTCTAAAACACTGCCTTTAAGAAACGCGTAGAAAACTTAATAAAATGCAATCGTTCCGTAAGTCATCACTTGGCATCATTTTGTGAGTCTCATTCGCCATGATTCATGTGACTTTCGAGTCACAGACGTACCTGCGAGATGTGATCTGATGGCACATGTTGCACTTTAGGAAGTTGCAGTCAAGTTAGAGAACATGAGAGCCCGGCACCCGCAGCTTTTGTACGAGTCGAAGCTGTACAAAATATTAAACGGTGGTATAGGAATACCGCATATACGCTGGTAATTTTCAACGTTTTACCTTCTCTATGGCTGCTATTATTGCAATGGAATTCGCGTAAGCTGCATTATCAATTCGAGTTTATGCCAGTCAAAGAACTCATAAGATTCACGATGTTTTTAGGTACGGTCAAGAACGCGAGTACAATGTTCTTGTCATGGATCTTCTCGGACCTTCTTTGGAGGATCTGTTCACTTTCTGCTCAAGAAGGTTTACTATTAAGACAGTCCTGATGTTGGCGGATCAAATGATCGGTAGGATCGAATCTGTTCACTGCAAACACTTCATTCACAGAGACATAAAACCGGACAATTTTTTAATGGGTATTGGTCGGCATTGTAACAAGGTAAATGTTTTTATTAACCCTCTGCTTGCTGTTAATCCATATCACAGATTAATTTCACACGATGTTCTAAACTATGAAAAACAAATGTTGCAGCTATTCCTAATTGATTTTGGATTGGCCAAGAAGTACAGAGATAGTCGTACAAGACTGCACATAGTATATCGTGAAGATAAAAACCTAACTGGTACTGCAAGGTATGCTTCTATTAACGCACACCTTGGGATCGAACAGAGCCGTCGGGATGACATGGAATCACTTGGTTACGTCCTCATGTACTTTAACCGGGGATCATTGCCCTGGCAAGGTCTCAAGGCGGCGACGAAGAAGCAGAAGTATGAAAAAATTAGTGAGAAGAAAATGTCAACGCCAGTTGAAGTCTTATGCAAGGTACACTCAATGCATCTTACGTATTTTTCTGGCGCGTGTCGCCCCTGTATGACGCTTGCACTTGTAACACGGAGGATCTCGCATGTTTTTTGTCTTTTCAGGGATTCCCCGCCGAGTTCGCGATGTACTTGAATTATACGCGAGGCTTACGCTTCGAAGAAAGTCCAGATTATATGTATTTACGCCAACTCTTCCGCATACTTTTCCGTACGTTGAACCATCAATACGATTACACATTCGATTGGACGATGCTGAAGCAAAAAGTAGGGAATAGTACTATCAGCGGTGGGGTAGCAACAGCTGGACCAGGTCCCTCTCAAGGTGCTCAAGGTACTCAAGGGCAGGGACAAAGCCAAGGTCAAGCAACTACTCAGGCCAACACTCAATCAGGTGCAACCAAAATTTTTATCTCGGGTGTCATTTCAGCTTCACAAGGAAGTTTAATGTTTTCGTTGCTAATTTCATCAGTATGTGGCATAATTTGATCTTGATCTTTTGAAAACTATTTGAAAGAAGATCCATTAGCGTGCGGCTTTTCTAAATCGTGGAATTTTAATGAAAGAAGCTTTGCGCATAACACGTTGTCATGTATAACGCAATAGACAAGTGATATTAACAAAGAGTGAAACTGCGCAGCCGTGTTATCCGGATATAAAAATCAATAAGTGAAAATGATCTTTATGTAGTTTCAATGTCACTTTCGTTTGTTTCAGGGGCGCGCTAAGAGTGTAACTCCAGATCGTAGCAACAATTTGGATTGCGATCGCTGAAATGTTTTGTATGGGAGGTACCAAAAACTTCTCACAAGTTGTTCATTCAAAGAGTCGTATCAATCAAGGTTCTAATTTCACTGTGCAAGAGGAAGAAAGAGAGAGCGAAAGAACGAAAGGGAAGGAGTGGAAGGAAAGGAGAGAGAGAGAGAGAGAGAACGTATGATTAAAATTGCAATATTCATATAATGCGACATAACAAGACGTGTATATCACGTAATTCACAAAGTTATACACGACATATTTTGTGTGATATTGGTAACTTAGAGTTTCGGTTGATTGAACTCTTTGTATTGGAAACGCGAGTAAGACCCAGCCAGCTAGCTTGTTAGCCAAGTTCAAAGTGGCATGTTCTTTATTTTGTTACTATATATTTAATTTACCGTTATTCATTGAAAACGAAATAAAGATCTCGATGTCCTGAAGATGACTTGTAAATGAGTTGATTGACCGTTGAATGACCTCGAATACGAATAGTCAGATCAAGCTGGAAGTTTGCTGTATAATTTTTATGAAAAGGAAGAAAGTGGGAGAGGACATTCAGACCATTCTTGTGGTAATAATAATCCTGTAAAATTTTATATCTATACTTCTACAAGCGGAAATGCGATGCACGAGAAAATATGTGAATGAGAGAGAAAGAGACAGAGAAAGAGTGTATGTGTGCGTGTGTGTGTTGAAAGAGTGAGAGTATGAGTACTATCATAAAATAAACTGACATTTTGCTTCCTAAATTTTGTTTTCAGTATATAATATGAACATACTACGTGGAGTGTTGAGAAAATGTTAATATTTTTCTTATCAGTGTGATATGTCGGCAACGCCAAAGATATTATTCCACGTATCTTTGACGCGTTTGAACTGAATAACTTTTGTTTACATGTATAAACGATAGCCCCCCCTCCTCCATATGATATTAACATGATTTGAAGGATACCGTAATGTTAAGGCAATCGTCTAATTTTTAAGTATCTACTACCGTACTGTATCGAGTATAAACGAAGCGAGTGGCTCCATGAAGAAACGAAATGATTAACGATTCTATATCATAAGGATATCCCCCGATTTATTCTCTTTCTGTCTGTGAATATGTTTATTCATTCGCGATTGCGGAAATAAAATTATTGTGAGAAAAGAGGGAGAAAGAGCCTTGGATTAATGCGAGCTAGTTACAGGTTTACTTTCGTTTAAGAGTTGATACGGATGATCGGAGGACTGAGAGAGAAAGAGAGAGAGAGAGAGAGAGAGATGTATAACTCGTTCGAGAAGTAATCCTGTAACTCGGCCTAGCTGAATAATTCCTTCGTACATGATTTTAATAGCTGACCGACTGGAGACTGACTGTGTAGTTGTTTCAATCGTACTGTTGCTCCAACATTAATTTCGATATTTTACGTACGCACATTTGCGACTTCATATTTTCATGATCAAGCGTTCTTCGTGTACACATATACATACACACACGTTTCTCTCTCTATCTTGCGTTTAAGGTTTTAATTTTGTTATTCATTCTAGCTGTTAAACTCCATGTCCATGTTCGGCGACATTAGTTGGAAAAAGAAGTTATAATTACACAACATACATACACACACACTTTTAACGAGCAGCATTAGTGCGCCATATCCTCATTGGAAGATGCACTACCAGTCGTCCGGTCAGCTTTAATACGATCTGCTGTGTACGATTGCGAAAATAAACTCGACTCCGGAAATCACGAAATTTATTGCATTATATTATGATGAGAAGGAGCGAGTTAGATACATACACCATCTGACGTGAACGGATCTTTGCGATTCCTATCGAGATCGTAATGATGTAACCAACAATCATCCTCGGATTGAGTGCGCGGTTAATGATTATTATTGTTATTAAAGAGAATAAATGAATGTATGTAAAAGAAAGAAAAAAAACGAGAGAGAGAGAGAGAGAGCGCATCACTGAGCATGTGTGAGAGAAAAAGAGGAGAATAAGCAAAACGAGCAAGTTAATAAAAAAAAAAAAAAAACTAATGATATATGCATTTAATACTATCTGCTATATATGTATGTACACAAGTCACTAGATAAGTTTTGCAACAGCTTTATTTATTTACATTCTGTCAAAATAATTACCATTACATTCAACACATTTCTCCGTTTCGAGCAAACCGGTCGTTGGAAATTGGCCGCCACTTTTCTGGAGGCTAAGAAGGCTTCTGGGCGCTATTCCACGCTGCTCTCAGCTCAATGCACGAAAATCTTCGTCCTACCAATTTTCCACTTTTTCTTCAAGAGGAAACAAATCAAAATCGTAGAGTACTAAATCAGGACCGCAGGGTGGGCGCTCAAGTTTATCGTGTGTGAATATTTTTCGATCGTTATATATATTTGACAATTCTTAAGGACATATATAATACAGAAAAGCCGCCAGAGAGGCACGCACGATTTCTCTCCTGAATTGTTAATACTACGTGACACAATATGCGTATTTGTATAAACGTAACGAGAGAGAACGCTGGGAAGCCTGCCAGCCGCGATGCGCCGGTCATCGCGCTGCAGCCCCCGTCAGATACAAAGGAACAAACATTGCACGAGTGCGAATAACGAATTACTAAACACGCCCTCTGTATCTCAATTTTCCAGCACTTAAAGGACGCAACGCAAATTCTCTGTATAAAAGCTTAAGAGTTAGAATTCGTAAGGTGATCCGTAACATTAAGCGGGGTCTACAATGAGAATTTAAGCTCTAAGCCTTGGGAAATTGACCGATCGCAATCGAATGTAGGAAGAATAATCGATTCTTAATTAACGATCATAACTGATCTTTCTTCTATAATTCGACTGTGATTTGTCAATTTCTCAAGGCTTAAAGCATCTATTGCAAACCGGGACTAATATTATACATGTGTATAACACGCTCGATTCTTTCCTCCTCTTTTTTTTTTCTTTTTCTTTCCCTAACAGCGTGACAGGATACGGCAGGACACGCTGCGGAATATCACTATCTCGATGGAGGAGCTATCCGAGAAAAAGTTAATCTCTCATATTTGACGTGCTTGATGCTTACTTCCTCGCATGCCACGGAAAATAAATAGTATGAAGCGACCCGCGGATTTCTTTCTTTCCCCTCTAACTTCAATAGTACAGCAGAGTGTGAATTTTCCTAAGTTCTTGCGTGCCCACGTTGACGGAGAACGATCGTTCCGGGCCGTTGTAAGGGATCTTGATCTCGGCAGCGAGCAGCTTGCGTTCCCGCATCGCCGCCGCCATCTCGCGATTCGGGTAAACGGCGAAATTCGCTTCCGCCCTGCCGCCGGGTGTGCGTTTGATAGCCTCCCGACGTACCTGGGCCTGAGGGAGACAAAAGTGAGAAGTGAATCCACCACTTTTTGGGCATCCGACGAGGGTTCCACATCGATCCCTAATCGGCCGATCGTCGGCTCGTTTGCTCACTTACCGCCAACTCGTCGGCTCGTTCTTTCAGCTGCATGATATTTCTCCGCCGCTCCAGTAAGTAATGGTAGGACGTCTCGGGCAATTTGCGTCTCAGGTCGGGAACTGTCGGATATACCAGAGTTTTCTGCACGTCCTGAAACGTATAATCGAGCGTTTTTATGTCGAAAAACGAAACTCTTGGGTACGATCAAAATGAACGAAGGGAGACGAGTGAGAACGGGAAAGTTCTGTCGTAGCGAAGTGATGAATTAGAAATCCAATCGGAAATTATACATTAGGTGGTACACTCGGAAGAGGTGAAGACAATGTCATAAATATTCCGCTATCAGCAGATACGGAAAGAAGGCGGAACTGCTCACAACAGATTCCATTAATCGTCGTTCCATCCCTTAAATATAGTGTAATACATTTCTCTCGACGCAGCAACGATCGATGATGATCGCAGCGAGACACGAGTCGGCGGTGATTTCTTACCTTGACGAGATCGGTGGTCTTCTTTCGCAGTTCCTGAATCGTCGAGTCCAGGGCCTTGAGACTCGTCGGCGACGACAACGGCTCCAGGCTGTCCAGCTTCTGGCGCAAAACCGCGCACATTATCTTCTTCTTCTGCAGATGCTCGTTGCTCAAAGCCTCCCTCAGGGCATTGATCTCCTGCACGTAATATTTGTTGTCCATAGCGCTCGTAAGAGAAGTGCTGCCGGCGATGCTGTCCGCGCCGACGGTCGACAGTGTTTTCTTGCCGATCGATTTCAGCTTCTCCTTCAGCTGTCCCTTCTCCGTCTCCAGGCTGTCGATGTCGGTCTGCAGGTGGTCCATAGTCTCTTCGAATTCCTTCTCCTGTTTTCCGGGGGTGAGATTTTTTAGAGAAACTTCGACGGACGGTATAACGTGGGGAATAACGTCCGGAGAAAGCGAAGAGATTACCTTGCGTTTCAGTTGATTCTGCGCCTCTTCCAGTTTTCGCTTCAGCTGCTCAACGTTCATCTCGTGCTCGTGCTGCTGCGTGATGAAACGCTTCTCGGCCAGCTCCTTGCGCAGCGTCATCTCGGACAATTCCTCCTGCTTCTCCCGCAAAGCCAACCTCGCCTCGCGAATGTCGCTGTCCCGTGTCTCGAGTTTCCTGCACACACACACACACAGAAGGTCATTCTGTTCGCTGAGAAAAGCGATTACTCAGTTAACTCTCCTTCTTTTGAGTAATTGTTATCTTCGATAAAGAACCTTTTTTTTACAAGACTCAAAATATATAGAGATATTTAGGCCTAAAATACGTGGCTTTTAGAAAAACGGCAGCTTTCAAAGTGTCTTAAAAAAATACTAGCTGTATTTCAGAGTCTAGCTTTTTTTGCAATAAGGTACTAATACGTATGCATTCTTCCGAAGAAGGAACTGAAACTTAAGATTTATTTTCAAGCTGAGATAAAGGTATCCTAAGAAGCACTAATTTTACAAATATTTAGTACAACTTCAATCCCTTTTTTCATCGTTAAAAGGTAAAATCATTATTCGACAATTAAATGAAAAATGTGGCCTGAATTTAACCGAAAGCAATGGCTTTTGCTTCAGGGCTCTGTCACTTCCCAGTTCTGAGATATTTGCATTTGTGTAAACTCGAAAATTGCTGCGTGCGCTGTGGTTCGGTGCGGCGTCACTGGTGTGACGTCGTCACACGGTCCCTCGACGGACACGTGAGACCGGGGCAATGACAAGAACGAAGACCTACGCACCTGCTGAGTATCTTGGTCTCCTCCGATTCCTTCCTCGCCGCGTTCGCTCTGATCAAGATCGGCGTTAGTTGCTCGCCCTCCAGAGACTGCTGCTGGTTCTGCGTCTGTCCGCTTATGGCCAACTCGTTTTCGCATTCGGCCATCTTCTGCGCCAGATTCGCGGCCAATTGCTGTATCACCGTCAGGCTCGCCTTGATGGTGGCCACGGGTCCCAAGTCCTCGGTGTCGTACACTTTCTCGCTCGACGTCGCGGCCATCTCTTTCAGCTTGTCGGCCGGCAGCCCGGTGTCCAAGTCTGTGAGCGAGAAAGAGAGAGAGAGAGAGAGAGAGGGAATTCGTAAACGCCGGGAATGGTGAATCCCGAGGAGAGGAAGACGCTAAATACCCACCACCGTTTTCGGTGATGGCTTGCAGAGCGCTCTTCAACAGATACTGAAGCGTCTTTACGATCTTCACGGCGTGCTGGTACGACGTTGAGAACTGTTCGTTGCAATCTTTGTCCAGACCTAAATTAGCGCCGACGGAGAACGCCGGGCCGGCATGGTCGCGCGGTACTCGCCTCCTAGCCGACTTCAGGTGCTGCTGGATCACCTCGCAGGTCGTCTCCACGTGCTGACAAAGCAGGCCTGCGACACGAGACGCAAAGTGATGTGAGAACGAATGAATCAACACACTTGATACTATTATTGTACGCACCGATGTCACCACCCTCGCCCTGTATCAGCGCTTTGATCGCCGTGGCGTCGGTAGAGATGGCGTCGCACGCGCTGCCGAGAGTCCTCGTGCCGTTTACGATCAGACGCGCCTGATTGACGGCCGTGCTCTCGCCGAAGAGCACGGAGAACATCGTGGCGAAGTACGCGCAGCACTTCTCGATCGCCTCCATCGGCAGGTTCTCGTCCAGCTGATCTCTCTTCGCCAGCTCGATCAGCGAGTCCAGGGACTTCTCCTGCGCCGCCATCTCCGGGTAAGCGTTGCCCGCTTTGAGCAGCATCTCCGGGCTGCACGAGTTCAACACCGACTCGAAGCAGCTCAACGCGGTCTGCAGGGAGTACATGTGCGAGCACAGGCGTGATCTGAACGAATACTGCGCCACCGAGTGGCCTCTTATTACGGAAGCCCTGGTGAAATAAGCAAAGAAGCGTTAGACGAGCCTGATACATCATCGCGGATTGAGGTGGAACGAGGCCATTTACCGGTCTATCTTCTCGATCGACCTGTACTTCTCCCGCACTTGCGAGATCAGTATCTCCGTTTTCTGCGTCATCCTCGGTATCAGTAGGAGCATGAGTATCGCGTCGTGGTCGCCGCCGCGTGCCAGGAACGCGGGCGGCATGAAGGACAGCAGGTGGCAGACGTGGTTCCGCGCCTCGTCCGCGTCCAAACGGCGCAACTCGAGGTCCACCGCCTTCGTTTGCGCTCGGGTCTCGGCGAACGTCTTCTGGAAGTCCAGTATCTCCGCCAGCTGCTGGTCCGCGCCTGAAAACGCCAGCGGATCGCCAGTGAGAATCCGCAAGAGCGAAACACCTCGGGGGAGCAACTCTACCTCGAACGTTGGTTTTCGTGGACTCGGTCGACTGCACGCGCTGCTGCAACTGCAGGTACTGTTCCTGCATCTGATGCGTGAGCTCGCGGAACTTCACGATAGTCAACTCGCGATCCGCGAGCGTCTCCAGCGCGGCGTCCCGGTGCCGTTGGGCGTCACGCGCCGCCCCGAGGGCGAGATCCAGTTCCTCGCGCAGCTCCAGCTCCAGTTCTTTCGACGACTCGGCCAGTTGGTCGGACATATCCTAAAATGGCCGTCGTTTCACCGTCGGGCGGAGCTGTCGGATCGTGGGACTTCCGGCTCGTGTGTTTTCCATCAGAATGCAATCCGGCGCGAAAACAAACGCCGCAGGCTTTATATTCGTACAGCGCTGGCGTGAACCATGCCCACTACACGAATCACAGAAGTCCCACGATCCGTGCGGCAAGGAAGAAGCGTCGTTTTCTTGAATTCGAATCAGAGACGGTACCTGCAAAGCTTCCAAGTCCGAGACAGCTTCCTGCAGCTCGGCCACCTTCTCCTCCAGCGCCATCTTCTTCTCCCCCAGCATCTCGACCATCTCTTCGGCTCCCAGCGCCGCGTCGACCTGGGAGAAAGGCGTGAAATGCACAAGCGGCGGATTCAAATTAATATGTGTGTGTGTAAAGAATAAGAGCCAGTCTTATCTGGAGACGAGTCGCGCGCAGACGACAGCCATACCTGCTCCTGCAGATCCGCGATTTGGTGTTCCATCTCCTCGACGCGCGCCGACAACTTCTCCTTCGTGCGGCCCAGCTCCATGATCTCGGACTTCTTCTGGTCCATGTCTTTCTGCAGTTTCTGGAACTCGTGCTTCTCGTGCGCCGACAAGTCGCGCATCCTCACGAGCGTCTCGCGCAATCTGCTGTTCTGCTGCTCCAGCTGCTTGATCTCGTAGCTCGAGGCTCCTGTCGCCGAGCCACCGCCGGCCGCCTTTAATCGCAGAAATAACAGTTTCACGTGTGGTCGGGCGAGTGTCGCTATTGAAGCACAGTGGTCTAACATAGATGCTTCTCGGCCGAAACTCACTTCTTCAAGTAAAATGGAGAAACCGTAAGAAAGAAAATCGAATTATTTTGCATTTATCTAAGAAGAAAGCGAGATGAACGTTGAGTGATTTTTCTCCTTTGAAAGACGCACATTCCATGCGTAGAAATCATTTCTATCAAGATTCCGAGTTTCGGCCCGAAATCTTGTTCACTTTCCAGACCATCGTGCGGGGAGTAGAGTAACAAAACATGTTTCTACCCTCTCGGACATTTCCGTGCGTAATATCTCGAGATCCAGCGTCTGCTCCTCCAGCTTGTCCTTGAGCTGCTCCAGCTCGATCTGAAGCGTCTCAGCCTTCTCTTCGGCCATTTCCTTGTCCAGCGTGGCCATTTCCACCGTCTCCGCAAGATCGGCCATTTCCTCCTGGAACTGCTCTCTCGCCGCGTGAGCTTCTCGAGCTTCTTGTCGGGCCCGTTGAAGATCTCTCTGAAGGCTTGCCTTCGGTAACATACAAATCACGAGGACGTGAGAAGCGAGGAGCGATTTTCACTGTCGCGAATTCAAAGAGGATCCAGCGTTGTTGACGGAAGTTGAAATGCATTTCTGATTCTACCTCGACGAATCGATTCATCAAGTCGCTCACCTGGCTTTCCATGACTTTAGTCTTGAACTCGATCAGTTGCTCTATCTGAAGTTTCGTCTTCTCGAAGTCTTTCATCCGTTCCTTGTCCTGCATCCGTTTCACGCGCAGCGTCTCCACTTTCTCGGTGAGATCGTGCACCTACAACCGTCGTTGATTTATTTCTCATTTATTCCCTTGCTCACTTATCGACAGGGAACAATCCCTTTGGATATAACAATATTGTATCCAAAGGGATTATCTGCCAATCGGCAGAACAGATCGCAAAGGGAGACACGTTTTTTCAGCGCGTAGGAACTACGCTTTTTTACCTGAGACTTCAAGTTGTCGTTCTCTTGCGCGAGCTGCATGTGCGACAGTTTCTCTTCCATCAGGTTCGCGGCTACCACGGCCGAGCCTGCCATCGCTTGACCGGGTACGAACTGCGGCTTCAGCGTTTCTACAAAACCTGTCTGAATTATAGAAAGGGGGCGAATGAGACATTCTTGCGCTTCGCACGGGCCGGGTGTTCTTTTTATTATCGCATGAAAGAATCGTATGTCGCCGGATCATGGTTTCTCCGGTCAAGGTTCTTCCTCTGAATCTCTGCGTACCTGTTGCCAACTCGGAAACTCATCGTCATCATCATCGTGTACACGCACACACGGTGTTAACTGAAAAACTGTGGTACATGGATGGCGCGCGCAAACAAAGACGAAAAAAGACAATTACTCTCGATTTGCGGCAATGAAAAAAACACCCCATATTTCCTATTGTTGATGGAGGATATAATGTGGCTTTAAACGATAATATAATGCACGGTTGTCTCTTGTATTTACAGTCGGGTAGAAGTAAAATTAGTCTGTCCCTTACTTGGTGATTAATGAGATTAGTCGTGACAGCAAACACCAACACAAGCTACACCGAGATACTCTATTAGTACTAGTACGAGTACAGGAAGAGCCACAGTTGATGAGTCGAGTCGTGTTGTTATATGATGTACATTTCACTTAGGGTTGCCGAGATTCCAGATTTTTGTCTTTTTTTTTATCAAGTCCATGTCAGTGGTAAAAACTAATATTTTCCAGAGAAACTAGCAAAAACTGGTCTTTTCTTAATTAAAAGCGATAAAATAAATGAGAAACCTTTCTATCGATATTCTAATTCACGAGTGTTCTATAATTCTAACTATGATGCGCACAAGAATCTATGCGTAAAAACCAAGTAAAAGGCATGCGATATGTTCGTACATCTTATGAATCTTTCCACGCAATTATGTTAAGTTAAATTAATTGTTATACGTGTAGGTATAGTGTTATACATGTAGGTGTTAGTGTATAAAAACCGGGTTTTAATTGCTGAAAAAAGGCAAGAAGAAACGGTCCTTTTTTTTCCTCGAAAAATTGGTTATTTGCTACTTAAATGACACATTGGATAATTTTTTACGATCCTCATCACATTAATGCGACCCAGGAAGTTAAGTATAATCTTATTTTTGTTAACGCTTTTATTTTTCCTCCTATTTCTAATTGTGAACGGCAAATTTATGTTTAAAAAATCGCTTAATAATACAAGAAAATAGTTGATATTACCATTTCATGCCTCCGAAAAAATTTCACAACTTTCGTCTGAGACTTTTTTTTCGAATAATGCATTTCCGGAAGAAAGCCGGAAACAATGGTTTTTCTCACTTCTTACTGGAATTTCCCGGTCAACCCCGATATACATTTACACACGTGGGATATACTAAAAGTCAGAAGAACGTCAAACTAGTTTATCTATCGCGGCCTCTAACGTCTGCGCGCGCGCAAACACACGTGCCACTCGCATTCACCGGCGCGGGCCGACTCATCAATTACAAATGTGACTCCGGGAGAGTTACCGGTCAAGCGGAAGTTACACCTCTGCGTATACACCACGATACCACGATAAGAAAAAGAAAAAGAAGACTCGCCCGCGCGCTAACATTAGTGTTGTTATCATTGCAAGGCGAACGCGAGAGGAGGGGGGGGGGCGATAATCGGAGGGGTGCTAATCGGACAGCAGTGGAACGACGTTGAACAACCCCTTCCCACTCGTGAACTCGTCAACTCTATCGAAGCATTACGAAAAACTCAGTTAATGAAGCCGATGTTTCAAACGCAACGGTGGAAGGGGGGGGGGGAGGTGGCGGAGAACGAAAATAAAAACGAAAACCAAGTCTGTAATCACCCCCACTAAGGAACGGGCCGTTGAAGCCGTTGAAGGTGCAATGAACGCTATTATTTATTCGGTTGCGAGAGAGAGAGAGAGAGAGAGAGAGAGAGAGTTACGTGTTATACGATGCTTACATGATGTCGACAAACAGCTAGGTAATGAGAAAGAACCAGATCAGAGAGGTGATGTATTATATAAAAAATTGAGATATTACAATTAATGAGTATTAATTACATTATTGTGATCATCTTGGGCCTTTGGCTTTTTGCCGGGAGGCGAGCTCGTGCTAGGGGACTTCTGAAACACGTACGTGCATTCCCATATGAATCACTCTGTGCGAACGGGTGTCTCCTCCGACTTGTTTTCTCGCGGAAACTTTCCTCTCTTTCTACCCATCTTACTTTCTTACTTTCTTTCTTTCGTTCGTTCATTCATTTCTCTCGTTTCGTGCCTCTTTTTGTTTTTTTTTGTTCTTTTTTCTTTAACTCGCACCGTTAAAACTCTACCTCCAAAAGCGCACACACTTTCCCGTTCACGTGCAAAACACCGCATTTGACTTGCATCGTCACAGAATAGGACCCCTCGCACATGAACACAGCAACAAAGTGACACACGGATAATATAATTCGGCAAAAACCTGGAGATTTCCAAATGCCAGAACGTTGCATTCTCGTTAGTCGGAAACACGGTGAGAGTAACACACCGCGGAAATGGATGAATTTTACCGTACGCATATATCATTTAGACAAACTTGATATTATTCAGGATAGATTCGCTTGCTATTTAATACGGACAAATAATCTACTTCCGCTTCGAGAATCGTACTTCTTCTTGTTTCTATCGTTACGGCTGACACGCGATGTGGCGGCTTACCTCGATGAATGAAGCGCGTTTCGTGGAGGTCGGCGCCGGAATCAACGACTCGCCGCCGTCCCTACGCTCATGCAGCGATCCGGACAGGCTCTCTGTGCTTGGGGCACTTAACAACGTTCTACTTCCGGTCAGAGACAATCGAGAACTGTAAAATAATACGCGATCCTGTAATCATGTAAACGTATCCCTCGTACACGGAATGTATCAAGAGTGTGGAGTAAATCGCAGCTGAGTGAACGAGGAAGCACCTCTCTTCTCTGTGTGCCGGTTGCACCGCGATTTACTACACACCTTGCACGTATCCGCTGCTAGGCCGACCGCGATAAGTCACGATGGAAACGCATATTTGCACTGCCGGATATTTTCACAGAACGGATAAACAGATAAACACAGTGAAAAATAAAGAGATATCGAAAAATTAGGAATCATAAAATTAGGAAAAACTGCGCCAGCAAATAAGTTCGATAGCATGTAACGTTTTGCGACACAATTGTATATCATAATTATATATATATATATATATATATATATATATATAATTGAAAAAAAATCATACATTATTGCGAAATTATTTGTCAGAAAATAAAAATATATACATAATTAGAAGCCGCATACTGGTGATAGTCTGTGCTCTGAAGCTGCAAAATAGTTAAAATGCTCAGTGACGTATTGACAGAAGATAATCGTCGTTATCAAGATATCTATGTAAGCAGTAGCGATGAAAAAAAAAAAGATTACACATTGCCGACATATCCACTTGCCACGATCCGTGTTTCACACATAATCTTACCCAGAAAGCTTGTCAGCTTGCTGACGAGTAATGTTCGCAGGAGATGTTTTTCTCCGTACACTTTTACGAGCAGCATATAATACATTTTAAGGATCGATTAATCATACACTCGCCTATTTACCTTATAATCGAAATACTCAAGACGCTTAGCACGGAATGAGATATCATGTAAGATACAGATATTCCTTAATCCTCAACATTATTCTTATTATACAAAATGAAACTTACGCTGTAGGCTCATTCCTTCGACGTGTACTAATGCTAGCGTGAAAAGATTATGGAACAAGGATTCATATAAATTTTTGCAAAGTCAAGAAAGGACATCAGCTGTCATCAGTGTAAACAGACGAGACACTAATTATTATCTAATTCTACTTGTTTCCAAGTTCATAAAAAAAATACTTCAGACCATATCGCTATGAAATACTGTTGTGTACTTAAAAGCATTTGCATTTCATTAAAAGCTAGCCCATGTATATATATATACAATTATATATTATATAGATACTATTTGTAGTACAAGAAATACCGCAAGATGAGTCGTTATGCTTATTGCTTGTGAGAACTTATTTCTCAGATCCAACCGACAATTCCTTAGTTACACAAGTAGCTTCGCTATCAATTTAGCGAGAGAGATTACCTGTTCAGGCGACTCCTGGCTCTCGCAGGACCACTGTCGTCGGGCGTTGTGGCATTGCTGCCTGCCGATGACGGACTGACCGGTTCGGTTCTGTTGCCAGCTTCATCCAGCAAGATAAGCTGCGCTTGCCGCGCGAACATGCCGTAATTTTCCGCGCACTGTGCACGAAGACCAAGCTGAATATATCTCGTTCTTCGTGAATACACATGAATTAACAGGTGAAAGTCAGCGACTACGTTACTCACGTTGAAGTACATCTTGCCCTTGACGGTGCCGTTGTTCTTGCCCTTCGGCTCGTCGAGTATCACCCCGATCCACTTGCCCGACGCGAAGGACGGGAAGCCGACATAGGCTATCACACCCTGGCATTCCTTCACCGGCACCTCGACGCGCTGGCCGACCTTGTACGACATCCTCGCGCTGAACTCGTCAATTCCGGCCAGACGAACACATCAGCTGTGCCACGCTTAACCTCCGCTCGCGTTCCGGGGTAACTCAGAGACGCTCGTCGTTCTACTTCTCACCCACTGTTCATCACAATCACGGGGCAGGAAATCTGAAAATGACACCGTATTTTGAACTACGAAGAAGCCCGGGAAGCCTCCAAGGATCCTCTTCTTCCGAAGTTCAAGGGAACAAAACGTATGACTGGTCTACTGACAGTTATATTGCACAGGTTAATCGGAGCTCCGTCTCTCGTAGCTGTACTTTGCTGCACCGGGACTGCACCGGGAACGGGTGACATTTCGTGATTAATCGCAGGAATCGATAATTAGGTTAGGCACTCTCGATCGGCCGATTTTTTGTCCGATGCAGTTTCCCCTCGATTCTTTTCTCTCTCGATAAGTTGATCTTTTTTTTAATGACTATCATAACTATGATAATTGTAACCTTTCTATTTTCCTCTCCCTCTCCCATCCTAAGTATTAAATATTTATCTGCCTTACTTTAAGTGTAGACAGTGCAACTCGATGCAGCTCTAATGAACAGACCTACATTCGCGACATTCACTGTAATGAAAATATCTACAGTATACGTGACACGGCCTAAGTTCAAATTTACTAGAAGGATAGTTTGGGGAGTTCCTGCGTTCATATTTTCCGGCCTGTGAAGTTTTTCCTTTTAGTGCTGTTCGTTAGTACTTCGGCGTATATATCGTGTACACCTTGCCCTGACATCCCGACATTTGTGGATATGTTTTTGTCAGTGTAATCAACTGTTCGACCGTTGTGTGTTTCACTGTTGAATAAACAAATTACCGACAAAAGTGGACGACAATGGCCAACCACTACGAGGTCCCAAACTGGTACGTTCGCCCGACAGATTCTCGACGATGCTTCCAACGATGTGTTATTGTTTACGCAATCGTGCGTCTCAGCTTTTAATTGTTGCTATGAGATAACACAGGTGGCTCAGAGGTTACATTATGTCCCTTCCAGGGCCGGGAAGCCACCGGTGGGTCTGCATCTGGATGTACTCAAGAGCGACAAACTGATACAGGTAATGGAACGTGTGGTTGATTGCACCTTCAGTAACATGTCACCTTTCCTGTCACGTCCCTCACGTTGATGAATTGATACGCTTCATGTGTGAATGTCTCGCAGAAGCTCATGGTGGATGAGAAGAAGTGTTACCTGTTCGGCCGCAATCAACAGCTGAATGACTTCTGCATCGATCACGCGTCCTGTTCTCGTGTCCACGCAGCACTTGTTTACCACAAACACCTTAATCGCGCATTTCTAGTTGACTTAGGAAGCAGTGAGTACACAGATTAACGTGATAACGAGGTTCCCCGGGTAAAATAGTGTCCAGGAGTTTTCAGTTGTCTCATTGTTGCGTTGACACACTTTTGCGCATGATTGTTAAGGCGTTTATAAAAGAGAAAAATGACGGGAGAAACTTCTGGAAAATGTTCCGGTTTGGTGAAATTTTGTAAATAGATTTCTTTTACACGAAGAACAAGCGTTCCGAAAGGACTTTGGCGATTCAAAGACCAATTTTTTTCACCGTTTCCTCAAATTTTCATTTCTTTGCTGTTTTGTACTTCTTGTATACTACTAACTGCATAATGCAAACGATATTATAAGTGTAGACAACAAATTAGGTCGCAACTTGTAAAAAAGTACACTTGTTAGATGTATGTGTGAGAGTCCATAAACCAAGCATCGAACTCTGAGATCGAGAAGGTAAGTATTATGTTTAATGGATCAACGAGGTACAGTTGTGATTTTGACATATGTCGTCAAGGTCATCATTGGGAATAACACTCGGAGGTTTTAGCTGTCGCTCGTTGTTTATTAAAAAGTTACTAACAAGAGAAGTTTGTTCTGGCTATTGACGCTTAAATCTTCCTCTTCGCTGAATCAGTGAGTTTAATTTACACGAAAATAAATTCTGAAGATATTAGCAAAAGTCCCTGTGCAAAGTTTGTGATTTGAACGTTGAAACTATTCCGTCACCATGTGTCGTTTCATTGGCGCTCCAGTTGTGAACTTGTCCCGAAGGACTTTGGATTCTCGAACTCTCACCATTTTTCTCGCTGCGAAAGAAGTTGCGACATGGAATAAGGGAGCCCTCCGGATCCCCCGGAGGGTTTCCCCATAAATTCTATTTATTATGTTAATATACCCTTTTACAAAAGTGCGCCTATCGTACATGTGTGTATTACACGGGGATATTCTGCGACTACTTTCCAGCACACGGGACTTTTATTGGCAATTTACGCTTGGAAGCTCACAAGCCGACGCAGTTACCGATCGACAGTACATTTCACTTCGGTGCGTCCACTCGTTATTACATAATAAGAGAAAGACCTCAAACCGGTGCCAGGCCTATCATTGAAGAACTGGAGAAGCTATCCGAGGATATTGACGCCGGTGGCTTGTTAGGTCTACCGGAAACAGAAACGGAGTTGGACGTACGTATCAAAATATTCAAGAAAAAAAGAAATCACCTCAAAACTCCCCCCGTCGTGTGCATGATCGATTGATTGTAACGTTTTAGAATTTGACCGAGTTCAACACCGCACACAATCGACGGATTTCTATGCTCGGCATAACGGACGACGAGATGCACAAGCCGACGCGAAAGCGTAAGAAGAAGGGCATCACTTTCAACGATGACGAGGAAGTCATTAATCCCGAGGACGTTGACCCGTCGGTCGGGAGGTTTCGCAATCTCGTACAAACGACTGTTGTTCCTAGCAAAGTGTGTATTATTCGACGATGTGCTCCGTCTCCTTCTCGTGTATAACGTAGCGCGAGTCAATTTCGCGGACTCAAGTCGTACGATTGAAGTATATACTTGATTAGAATGAAGAGCGGCGTGAGACTTGAAATTCGTCCATCTTGCAGAGAATGCGCATGGAAGGCGGCCTCATATCCTTATCGGAGGATCACAATCCTCTGAAGCATATGCAACCGACGTCCACCACGCCCCAGCTCTATCACGACCTACCTCCGGAGCAGTTCACGCCGTCCTCCATGTCGACCAATCCCTTCTCCACCGCTCTCACCTCGTTGACGTCGCGATTAGGCATCGCACTACCTAACCCGGCGCCCGAGGTGGAAATGACGCCGAATCAAATACAAACGGAAGTGCCGCACGTGCAGGAAATACCGGGCGCTACGGAGCCGCGAGTGATGGAACCGAAGAAGAAGAAGTACGCCAAAGAGGCATGGCCTGGAAAAAAGCCGATACCATCGCTCTTAGTATAATAGCCCGAGGGGAGAATTTATCACGTTCGTATCTATATATATATATATATATATATATATGTATAATTTTATCATGAAAATTTTCTTTATCTCCTCCCCTCCCCTCCTCTATATTTCAGGAATTGTTTATATATTACAGAATTGTGTAGAATCGTTCATTTTACATTCGTATTATTATTACTATTATTAATAATAATTATTATTATTACACTTTCGGTAATCATGGAGCCTATTTTTATTAAGAAATGAGTCATATAGGGTTATTTAGATATAAAGGCTAATTTTACGCTTAGAAATTATTGAAGATAATAAAATGCTCTTTATTATTTTACTTCGTAACCGATGGTTATTGTTATATTCGAGGTTGAAACGAACTTGCGAGATTGTGACATTACGTTGTGCGCTCGAGCGAGGATGTAAAAGATCTATGATATCCGAATGAAATCTGAATATATTCTATCAAGAAATCTCGAAAGCATTGAGCATCGATGCTAAAATCAAGCGATTGGACGTTAAACGAGCGGTGAACGCGCCGAAATAACGTGGAACGCGAGAGATACACTTTCAGGACACATTTTTTATTTGTCGTAATATTAATCCTTCGAGAGTATCCGTACTAAGTTCACTTCATTTCTTTTACATCAGCGATTTTATCATTGCTATTGATCATGGGAACTATTATGTTTAAGGATTTTAAGGTTAAGTTCGTCGTGTGGTCTTCGTACGATACTTTTGTAAATCGACAACTGCTCGTAGTAGACATTGTCGCGAGTGATATATATATATAT